TAACTACCTGGAGTATGTATTCGGTAGATGATGGGTAATATGTAATATGGGAATGGTGCTGTAATCGTTGTAGCTTTCGTCCTCGCTATGTGATAATAATGAGGCTACCTAATAATAATTGGGAAGTCGAGGTAGCACTTAATTTCATTAATAATAAAGAGATCCAGGACGAAGATCGCGCGGATCTCGAGAAACCACCGACATTCAACCCCACTTGCTAATTAGGGAAATCTATAAGTCCGTGATCCATAGCGAAGGGATTATTATCAAAGGATAAATTACTGGCATACTATATTAATAACTATGTACATCGTAAATAATTTGTAGATTAATATGTAATACCTACCTGTAAATATTTCCGAATCGATGGTTTAACCTAGCCTTTAACACTTGGTAACCAATGAGATGAATAGTTTAGAAAGACTAGAACTTCCGGTAAATTAGGTACTTTAAGCATGTTATTATAGCTAGGAATCTCTCATCTTTGGTACAGGTTAATACTGAGCAAGTTGAAGATGTAAGTAACGGGAATCAAGTAATAAAATCGACAGTATGCACACTGACCTTATACTATGTATTCAAATTTCACAATCTATTATTATCCGCCTGCCGGCCTGCAACTTTACTAGGTTAGGTATTTGTATCAAGCTCGAGATTTGTTTCCTCAATGGTACCTACATGTGTAGCAAACTCTTTGGCGTATAATTGAAGTGGACGTGCATGCCGTACCAAGCTAATGTAAATGCGGAACATCTAAGACGTCTGGTGGGTTGGCCACATGTGGACATGTGGGAGAGTACTTACATCTTCAGGGATAATTGGGCAATTGAAATGTACACCGGATGCCCGTGTGGATCCTCCCGCTGGTGTCCTAGCAACGCAGGACAGGGGACATTTCAGCGCTAAGATAACGGTCCAGGGGACCGAGCGGTGACTTCTGAGCGTCAGTGTAGGTAGGTACATAGTAACTTAGGTTAGAAATGTGTAAGAAGGGGGGAAGAATAAAAGAAGAAGAAAAAGAAGAAAAAGCTATGAAATAGGAACTTCCAAGTTGAAAGTTCCCATTGCGATTTTTACTTTTGCATCCTACTCCTGAATGTTGAAAGTAGAAGTAGAGAAAAGAAACAAGCAGTAGCGGGCGGCAGCAATGACATCCCTATAGTTTTTAGGTTTAGGTACTTATCGATCTCAGAAGATTTCGGCCTCGCAGTTTATTCTGAACCTGTCACCTTTAAACACTTTCGCATCTCCTTAACTCAAAATCTACCTCATACGTTAGGTACATATGTCTATACCGTCAACACCACCCATATGACATTGCTCCGAGCCGCCAGCGTGTTATCCTTACACTGTATGCTGACGGCATTGGCTAACCATAATTACAATATTACATATCCTCATTTTACCTACTCCTAGGTCGATGGTACCGCTATCGGGTTTGGACTTGGATGTGCCCGCCCTGAGACCAAATCCTAGCCGAGTCTCTAGCCGCGTCTCCAGCCGCTGAAACCAAGTCGCCGAAACCAAGTCGCCGAAACCATGGCTGAAGACTATAGTCGCATTGACCCGACCTCCGTCGAAGCGACCAACGACGCGACCGGAGCACCCCCCGAGTCCAACCCTCAGGATCCCGTCACCGCTTCCGCAGACATTTCCACGGACACCCCCTTGTCTAAGAAGGAAAATCTCCCGCTCGTACTCCTTCGCACGCCACCAGATGATAGTAGCTTTGTCGATACCACACGACTTGACCACGACGATAAGCATCTCGACTCGGTCACCGAAGAGCTGCAAGTCAGAGCTCATCTGGAAGATGTCGAATCTAGTTTTTTACCTCCTTCGCCAACTCAACTCGCCAGCCCAGAGAAAGGAATCGATGACACATATCTATTCGATGTTACAAAGAAGAATCCTACGGCGTCCGCGCCTTTCTTATCGCCTTCTTTTACTCCCGCCCTCGCCTTCAATACGGCGACTCAACCCTCCGATTTGCATGACCAGCCCGATTCGCATCCTGATATACCCGCCGACTCGACCCCCGCTAAGATCGACCCTGACATAACAAGTCAGACGCCTGACCACAGCCCCCTTCCCTTACGCCACCACAACGATTCTAACGCTGTCGAAATTGGGAATACTACCTCTGCGCTGGAGAACCTATCTTCTCCTACGACTGCTGCCGCGGCTCGTAGCGTATCGAGAGCTATATCCGTAGCTAGCAGACGTACCAACGAGGAGACGCCGAGCGAAAATGACGATCGCGATGCTTCATTACATGGTAACTCGGCCATCGGTGTACCTAGAGACAGTTCGCTCTCCAGACCTTCGAGTCTCCACCAGCAAACTTCTGATCAGGACTTGAGTAAACTACCGGGCGACAATGGCAGCACACCGTCGATTTCTCTTCAGGTTGGCACGCGTCCCAGGTTTCTTCGCAGTAGGAACGGTAGTCAGCGTTCTTCAACCTCGTCCTTCCTCAGTAATGAAGATATTGAAAGCGATGCCACAGTCGGATTAGGTGCTGACTATGCCCTCCAGTCTGGAGGTGCTTTGCCTGCCTTTGGCTTAACGCGGAGCGCCAGCAATACTCTATCTCGCTCCGTAAGTATCGGTAGTATGGCGTCCGGGTTTGACGAGTCTCCGGACCCTATTCGACCGGATGCCCTAGAGCCTCTGGAAGAAGTTGAAAGCCCTATGCCTGACCGTCGTATCGATCTGCTTGCAACTCCGAGGCCGAGGAAGGGCCCTCTAATGGCACCTACTGACACGGTCATTGCTAGACACGTCCGCAACGTGGAGGTACCCGAATCTCTAGCTAAGGAATATAAGACGAAAGGTGGCCTGGCAACACCGATACAACAACCCTATAGGAAGGTTTCGAGTCTGTCTAGCTATACGCCCGCAAATACTAGCACTACCACCACCACCAACACTCGTGGCGGCAAAAATCTTACTCTTAAAGAACAGTCTAGCACGATTGAGCGTTTGTCCAAAGAAAACTTTGATCTTAAACTCAAGGTTATGTTTCTTTCTGATCGTCTTGACAAACTCTCTGAAGAAGGTGTTAAGGAAATGATCTCGGAGAATGTTGAGCTTAGGACGTCATTAGCTGTTATTCAGCGGGACAATAAGATCCTCAGGCGGCGTGTGAAAGAGTTAGAAAAGCGACTTCGCGACGAGGAGGACCGGCCAAGCACTGCGAGGAGCGGATATTCCTCGGACGGGCCAACGACTCCAGCATTCGATCCTGACGCGCAAGAACGAGAAGAGGAGCTATTGTATCTGAGGGAGCGCGTCGAGGAATATGTAACCGAGATAGAGAGGCTCAGGAATGAGAATATGGCTAGCCAGGCTGAGAAGAGGAAACTAGCCGAAACGGTTAAGTCTATGGGAGACCGCGCCGGTGAGCGCGTCGGCGAGAGTCTAGGTCGCCAGGAGGAAGCTGACGTATATAAGGATCTCCTCGAGCAAGAAACAGCTCGTCGCGAGCAGGCTGACGATGATAACCGGAGACTGCGGGATGAGTTGTTCCGGATAAAACAGGAGATTAATGGAACGGCTGCCCCAGGTGGCATGCACCACACAACAAATATATATAATATCACGCGGAAGGCCAAGCCAACATCGCCATCAAGATCGCGTCCCGTCTCTGGCCTGTCCGGGGAGATAGATCCTACCACCGCGTCTAGCCAGTCAGCAACCCTGGTCGATGAACTCCGCAGAGAAAGCGAACAGCTACGTCACGAGAACGCTGAGCTGCGGAGAGAAGTCGGCGCGCAGACTTCCATGTTGACGTCCCGTAACCGCGAGAAGGAGAGGCTTTACCAGGAGATTGAAGACCTCAAGCTAGCTCAACGTCGCGGAGGTCCAGCGACTTCAACTATCGATAGCCTCCTCGACCGATCGGCGTCGCGTGTGGGCGGTCATGAACGCTCGGCTTCCCGGGGGAGTGGCCGTACGAGACTCACTATGACGGTAGAAGAGGATCCCGATCGCGAAGAGTTAGAAAATAAGCTTGCCGAGCACCGCGACAGAATTAACGAGCTCAAGTTTGAAAAGCAAGAGCTCCAGCGTGAATTACAGACGTGTATGCAGGAGTTGGATAATATTAGCGAGTCTAAGAGACAGCTTGAAGACCACAACGGGGCTCTGGAAGAGGAACTCCAAAACACGACGAATGATTTGTTACAGATACAAGGGGAGCGTGATGAAGTTCTACAGGAGCACTCTGACCTCCAAGCTGAATTCGACATTCTACGGAAAGAGGCCCAAGAGGAAATTGATTCCTTAGAGGCCGAGAGTGATCAGAAGACCGAAGAGATCCAGCGGTTGCAGATTGAGCTGCAAGACCGATCGGAGAATTTCGACGCCCTTCAGGAGGAGATGCGCCAGATGAGCGAGGCATTGATAAGACTAGAAGATGAGCAGGAGAAGAAACTAAGAAGAATAGAACAGCTGGAGCAGGAACTTGCCGAGTCTAACAAGGAATCCGAAGATCTCGAGGTTAAACTTCTCGAGTCGAACGATAAGGCGCAGCGTCTCGGGGTCCAGCAGGAATCTAGCCAGGGCGAGATCGCATTTTTACGCGAGGAGCAAGAGGCGGATAAGATTCGAATAGGCGATCTCGAAGCAGCGCTTGCTAATGCCGAGCAGGGTCTTAGGGAGGAGCGCGATCGGACTAAGGAGTTGGAGCAGCGGCTGGCCAACGAGCGAAAGCAGCGCGAGATCGTAGCAGGACGCGAGAAGGAAGAGGTTCAGCAATTCGTCAACGAGCTCAATCGGGAAGTTTCGACCGCTAAGGACGAGGCCAGGCGGCTCCGTAAGAGCTTGACAAGTAGGGAGGTTGAGGCTACAGAATGGAAAGAGAGGCTTATGGAGCTAGAGAACAATCTACGGGAGGCTTTGGGCGACCTGAATGGAACTAGGTCCAGCCTTCTGAAGGTAAGTCGTATTCACGAGATGCGGTGTAGGTTTCTGGAATATTTATCTAACTACCTACCTATTAATAGTCCATCGCCAAGCTCCAGAGAGAGCTTGAAAACACGGTTCGGGAGCTTGACGTTGCGAAGAATTCTATGCTGGAAAAGGATCGCATAATTAAGCAGCGTGATGCCCTTCTCGAGTCTCACGGACTCGAATCCCGGAGGCTAGGCGAGATGCTCGATAAGGAGCGCCAAGCTCACCGTAATACGAAAAATCAATTCGAAACATTTCAGCGCACGCACCAGCACGTATCACGGACCGTCACGAGCCAGGATTCACGTATTTTAGAGCTCGAGACCAACCGTGCGGCAGACAAGAAGAAGATAGCACAGCTCGAAGTTTCGTTTAAGGAACAGCTAAACGAGCGCAATAATCTATTGCTGGTCTTGTGGACTCGCCTCTCAGCGCTCTGTGGTACTGATTGGGCTCATGATAACAGCCTCATCAACGGACGCGCTTTACCCTCACTAGAGTCTGTATCGACGATGCTCCCTGGCTTCGCTAAGAACCTGATGAGCGCCGTTAAGACTATCGAGGGCATAGTAGGCAATTTCCAATCCCGCATAAAATCGGTTGAGCGTGAACTGTGGAAAGAGTACCAGTCTCTTGAAAGCAGCCTCGACGCGAAGTCTAAGAAGCTTGAACGTCTCGAGACTATCGTTCGCACCGGAATTGCAGCCGGCCACTTCGATGCGCACGCTAAAATATCTCAGTTAGAGACCGCATACCGGGCTCTCAAAATCGAGAACGCCACTCTACAGCGTGCCAACGACGCGCGCACTCGCGGAGCCGGTTGGACGGGGTCTAAGAAGGCCAGTAGCAAAAGCTCACGCGAGGATCTGATCGACGGAGGTAGCCCTTCACCGTCTGTGCCGACTGGGCCGCATCACCGAGAATCAAAACTCCCGCGCAGCAAGACAACTCACTTAGAAACGCCTAGCTTGAGCGCTAGGAGCGGATCGAGCAGCATGTCTCGGAGCGCCTCTACTATGGTTGCGTCCGAGATAGAGCGACTGGGTACTTCCAACGGCGATAGCTCTTCCGGAAAGAATGGCGACGACAACCGGTGGATGTTTAGGCTGCGGGAGCTCGAGTCTAAGCTCAAGCAGGAGAGAGAAGCCAGGCACATGGACCGAGCAGCGGCCAGACAGAGAATACAGGATAGCGAGCGGCAGAATAACGAACTTGCTGCCGAATTAGTGCGAGCGAAGAGGAGAGGTAACGGAGAATAAAACACGCATGCCAGAAACCGAGACTACCCAATATTATGTAGGTCAGCGTTCCGGCTAATACATATCGCGAGAGGGAGCAATTCTTCTTCCTCAGGGAGACGTGGAGGAGAATCATCAAGGTCATGGGGGAAGTTGAAACTTACGATACGAATTAACTAGTACCTTGTATCAATATCGACGCATGGGCGCTTGGCGTTCTTAGGAGTGCGTTTAGTGGGCATACGCATCTAAGGCGTTCTTTTGTCTGGTGGTTATACAAAAAGCACATTTACTTTGTTATGGGACTCGAAGGAGGCGGGACGAGGTGGACCGGGTAAAGTCCATAGTCGCGTCTTCATTAGGACGGTTTGGAGAGGATTAGTGATATACTGCAGTTCTACGCTGCCAATTCATACGAATGGTTGCTCCTTTTTTTTTCCTTTTTCTTTTTTGCTTGTCTTCTAGCGTTTTATGTGGTTGCACTTTGATGTGATCGAATGCTTTCTCGTAAGGACCACTGTCATTTACAATTAAAGCCATTAACTAGATAGAGGTGACAGCTAGAGAGGATGTAAAGGGACGGGATAGGTATTATGAAGCTATAGAATTATTAATACAAAGCAAAAGGTCTGACATTTACTGACATGTACATAGGCATCCGCTAAGAAGTATAGCTTAACTAACTAAACGGTACCTAAGTTAGCCAGCCTTTCTTTTTCAGTTTAATCAATGTCTAAATGATTCTCCCGGGAACTTTTCTATTAAAGTTACATATGCTTGGACTTGAAGACATCTCAGAACAATATCCTTATGCTATTATACATGGGTAACCTAGCTGGATACCTTTATTTAGGTTGACTATAAAATAAATCTTAATAGTTTGCTTTGATCCCGCTTCGTGCTTACGAGTTTGCTCGCCGAAAACTGCGTAAAGCAGCTTTACGTGTACAGGCAGTTTGATATTTTGAGAACAGTAAAAACAGTTGATTTCCACAACACATGCAAGGCAACCAGATTACCCCAACTCGGCATAGGTAGGTGGTGAAGACGGTTCGCGAACTATAAGTTGCTGCGCCTCGGTACTACTCTGCTGCCTCGATGCAAGGGAGGCCTCTTCGCCAGCTATGTAGGAACCCCATTCGAGCATGGACAATTCAATTGACTCGCATCCAGCATAGTCTCCAAGCTATAGTGGAATTAGGAGCGTTACGTTAATACGATACGAGGTATCTTCCTGGCTATACCGTCTTAGCAACCGGCTTCATTTCTACTTGGCTTTTCTCCATTTAGCCATCTTACTAGTCGCCGCGGCGCGGTCGCCCGTTGTCCGGCATGGGTGCTAATCGGAAACCTACGCCTGGGGCCGCATCCACACTCGGAGCTATGAGACATCCCGAGTGGGTTGCGCAGACGGCTTCGCATGCGAATGGAATTTCCCAATGTAGCAATATCGAGCCGGCCGTGTTTGGAGGTTATGATAATGATTTTCATTTGGAAAACACGGCGTTATTCTGGGCCATTGAGCGAGATCCGTCGTGGGCGGAGGGTAGTAGCGGAGTGATACCTCTAGAAACGGGGAACCTATACGGCGCTGGTGGCAAGTTTGCCGAGACCGAAGTCATCGATTTTTCACATGGAGCTCTACCACAATGTGTCCTAGACACTGCCAGTACCTTGAGGTATTCGCCCCCTTCTTCATACCAGGGATCGGTATTGTCCTCCATCCAGACAGACTTCATATCCGACATCTTCTCCACAGGAACGCCAAAGCCGTGTGATCCTAGCCCCCTACAGGTCAAGGATAAGATATCTGCTGAGATAGATGGTTATCACGTCTGTCCTAGGGATCCGTGCAGAGCCAAGTTCATCAGCAAAAGAGACCTTGAAATCCACTCTAGTGTTGGGCATAGACATATCTGCCTTTGGGGTAATAAGGGACCATGCTCTAGTGCAGGATTCGCGACGACAGAAGAGCTTAATTGGCATGTGAAGCGCGAACACCTACTACTGTGCCCGGTCCCCGGTTGTGCAGAAGACACCTTCGTTTCTAAAAATGTCCTCGATTGTCACCTAAACTATGCCCACCGCAATGCGACGGTGGTCCAGAACGCCGCATTCAAGCCGGTCAACCTTCTCGAAACAGCACCAGCACCGTCAGAATCGGCAGTGAGTAGCCAAACTCAAACTTCGATCAGGAACCCCAACGCCATGGAGAAGACAGTCGGAATGAATATATCTCTCGATGTTTCGAAGAAGCATTGCAGAGACCGACTGGAAGCTGTGCTCGAGAAGAGGATAAAGAAAGCTAACGGTGAGTTACAGACGTTGTCAGCTTAATAAAAGCGATAGCTAATAGTGATGCTAGGCGGCACACCGAAAACTGGTGAAGATTCTAAATATCACATTTCCAAGTTACTAGAATCAGCTAGTTTCCCCGTTATTTGGGAACATGGCGTGCTCCCATTTCTCGTCGAATTCATCCCGAAATGGTGTGGCCATGGTCATGTCATTTCCGTGATGCGTGGGAGGAAGCCCAATTCCAGACGGATATGCATCATGACGAAGCAAAATGTCTCTAGAGCTCGAAGGCTAGTCATTGCAAGCCACGTACGAGACCTGCTGCCAAAGAATCACCATAATTCAGTCACATTCGTATTCTCTGTTGGCGAAGTACGCCGCGCATGGTCGCGAGGTTTAAGTAAGGATATGCCGGATGAGATTTGCCTCCCGCGTAATCCTTTCTGCTATACGAACCCGTGCATGGGGGATAGTATTGGAGCGATATCAGAGGATGGCGATGAGATTACAGCAACGTTAGGACCCTGTCTGGCAGTTGACGGCGGGAATTTTTGGTTGGTTAATTTTCACCCGTTTATCGACGTGAGTAAGGGAACCCAGCCAGTACCTATCGAGCACCCGTCTCCGGCGGACCGTATAAGGTGCTTAGACGAGAAGCATGAAGCTCTGAATGATAGCGACCTCAACTTCTTTATTGGAAATTTGACGGCAACTTCCGGGTTCGACTTAGAGACTACTCGGGTTTCTCACGATCCGTATTGGGAAGAATGTGACAAGGAACCTCCATTAGTCGTTACAGATTGGGCATTGGTCTCTACGAAGTGCCAACAGGCTAACATGCTGCGAAAGTTCCCTGCCACCAACCAAAAGCAGGAGACCCCAGTAATTTCGATGAGCTCAGTTGTGCCTGGCGCAGCAGTGTGCTCTACAGGACGTACTTCGGGGTTTCAACGAGGTCAGGTTTGTGAGATACCTGCGTATGTCGATGGTTTGGGAAACGGCACAGGCAAGGCATCTCGGGAATGGTACGTAGAGGAACCTTACCCCTACGACGACGAAGAAGCTTGGATTTGCGGTGGTATAGGGGTTGAAGGCGATAGCGGTGCTGCCATCATCGATTCTGGGACCAACGCTATGATCGGTCAACTTTGGGGGCGAAATAAGTACTACGGCCCTGGGCCGAGGCACACTTTCTTTACGCCCGTATATGACATTTTAGACGACATTCGAGAGAAGTGTGGCGAGGAACGACAGCCCCGGCTGCCATCATACCGCGACGAGGCAGAGTGTTGGCCAGTCTATCCGGTCTGTGAACGATGTTTTAAACTTCGCGAATATCTTGAAAGTCGGCGTAGCTCTCGAGAGTCATTGATGTCTATGATCGGGGTGCACGATGGAAGAGCCGGAGATACTGACAACGAAGTCACATCCGTATCAGAGTTGGCAACACCAGGAGATGCCTCGAACTTGCTTCGCAACGTAGGACTTGAAGCGACGAGCCCGTCATTCAGTGGCATGGTATCTCCAGCGCCGATCCACGCTTTCTATCCAATTTCACAAACCCTCTCCCCAGGCAATCCCGAGTTGAGAAGTCCCTATGCGCACGCTCTAAAAGATGATGACCTTTACGAAAGATTTCCGGAAACCGATGAGGCCGCAGCGGGTATATTGCCGAGACTAATGGCACGTACTAATAGCCGACCGCCAACTAAAAGGCGAAAAGTAATGCCTGCCAGCACCAACCCCTTTTTAGGATCTAGTTAGACATCTCTGAACAGTGTCAACTGGCTATCCGGCCAAGCCCCCACGTGCCATCTTTTTTGCGCGCTGGTCTCGACGGTTGTGATTAGCCCTGGACCCCTTGCTCGCTTCCTTACGCCTTCTAGCGCTTTCGGTATCTTTATCACCAGATGGTCCGGCAACATTTCCTCCACGACCACCGCCTCTACCTCGTCCTCGACCACCACGGCTGCGGCCACGATTGCCAAATCCGCCTCGGGAATTGTTGGAATTATTTCCTCCGCCGTCAATCTCTGAGTCTTCTGCTGCTGATTCTGCTGGGCCCGCACGCCAAGCAGTTGGGGCTAAAGCAGGCTGGTCGCCGCTAAACGCGCTATATTTCATCTCCAACTGTCTCATCTGATGCGGCGTTCGCGTTAGCATCAAGGCCCAACCCTCAATGGCCTCGTCAGTCATTCCCGTCTGTTGTTTTAGCTTTAATCTGCTTTGGCCTCGTCTCGTAGCTGCGTCTCTACCGAATATCTTTGAATCTGACTGGTAAGCTTTGAAAAGAGCTTCCTCACTTGCGTCCTTTCGTTTTTGGTCATCTGCGTCTTCTGGATTTCCGTCGTTTACTACCAACCCGGCGTCTGCAACGTCGTACGTGTCGTCGCGTTCGTCATCGTCTGCGTCAAATGCAGAAAGTGCAGAGAGGATAGCAGCCTTGTTAGGAGCGGATGATCTATCATTCAAAATATCATCTGCTGATTTCTCTGGATTTCGTTTTCCGAAATGAATATTAGACATGTCAACTTCTAGCTTGTCAAATTCGTCATCATCAAATACATTGTGGCGCGTAGAAGGCGAGAGCGGCGGTGTCGGCCGGGGTGCAATATCGCGACTTTTCCTCCTGCTTCTGTCTTGAGACCTATATATGAATTAGCATATACGATGAAGATAGAATATTCCATGTAGACTAACAGCTCCTCCGTGCGGTCTGCAGCGGCTAAGTGAGCCGGTAGGGAATCTTCAAGCAGGTGCGCAATAACTTGTTCGGTATCATCTCCGTATTCATCCAGTAGCTTTGAAACGAAGCTAGAACCTAGATTTGGGAATAGGTCTTGTATTTGGGATATCTGGCTCATGCGATGTATTTTCATCTCTCCGAGGATATTATCGTCCTCGGTCATAATTCCCTTTCCTTTGTTGATCTTCCGTTTAACTATTTTCCTGGGTCTAGCATTACCACCGGGTTTTCGGAAGCCTTGCAGCGCAACAATAATTGACTTCCATCGTGTCGTGCTTGAGCCAGACTCCTCAAAACGTTGTTGAACTTGCTTGAGGATGGGAGTAACTGTAACTAATTCAGCCACCATAGAGTCGTTTACGTTCAACGGCCCTGCTTTGTGGCTGTCGGCAGCAGCTTTAAGGGAGTAGAGTTGGTCGGTCAGCATGGAAAAATTAGGAGGATTACCCTCAGTCAAACCAATCAGGCATAAATAAGCCGTTGTCACGATCGTCTTTCTCAGAGGAGGGTTCATGATCTTGTAGCAACTGATGAGTCCATCGAGAAAATCACTCCCGGCCAAGAAGAATGCAGCCGTGCCAGGAGATGCGTGGATGAGGTGGTTAAGTCTCTTCAGCCGAGGCTCTAAGGTTCTGAGGTCACCCTTGAGGCCCGAATCAAGATTTACGATCAATGATTTTTTAAGGACGGTTAACGAGTTTGTCACTTGTAGCTTCTGTGAGATCTGGTTGATCAGAACGGATGTTCTCTTTTTTGAAAATAGGCGGCTAAAGTCGGAAAGGAACTCCCACTGAAGCAGCGGGGGAGGGGGAGAAGGCATTCGCAGTAGTCTAGCAACTAGAAGGAAACATTGGCGGAATAGAAGCTTTGCGAATTGTGAGGTGCCGAGCACGGTAGCACCGTTTGTTGAGACTTCTGCCACAAAAGAGACGAGAAACGATAGTAATGTTCCATCACCGGCGGATAAGCTGGTAAACTGGTCCTCGGACAAAGAAAGGTGAGCCTCTACCAGTGCAAGCCAGTTGGCCAGGCAGGTTTCCCACTCTTCAGGTACGATATGATTCCTCCATGGCGCTTCTGGAAAAGGGGCAAACTGAGGGAGAGCCGCCATGACATGCGAAGTGAACAAAACGATTCGACTGGAGTTTTCAGGGAGACATATTATGTTGTGTACGAAGTACCCTCCAATGCTTCTTGAATTTGTTCAAGATATTAAATAAGAAGTTTTTCGTACCAAATTGGAAGTCTGTCAGGTCCACATTAAGGATGTTCACCGGATGACTCTTTGTAGACGTTGGCCTTTAGATGAGATCAACCATAAGGTTAGGTGCCTAGGTAGGTATGTACATGTAATCAATGAAATACCTAAAATGTCCATATACATTAGGTAACGTATTAAATAGGTACCTAAGTACCTACTTAGACACAGGATCTACATGTACAGCCATCACGTAAGCAGCTGTCTGCACGTCCACTATCGGTAGGTACCTATGTATAAAGTTAGACCCACTCTAGCCCTTATCCGAACCCACACTGGGGAAATCCGAGTCCATTATCTTTTCGCAAAATATCGCCAACTTTTTTTTTATTTTTTTGATTGATTGATTCCCCTCTACAAAAAAAACCACAACACCAAAGGTCGCCTTCATCACTTTGCCGAAACGTCATACCGTTCGAGTCGTGAGGGCAAATTCCTAGCGCCAACCAACCGCAGCAAATACGCAAATCCCTTCCCTTTGACGAAGAACAGACAACACCCAACGCCGAGATGTCGTACAACAAGCCCGAGAAGGACTACGCCGGCGAGCAGGCCAAGACCCACAAGATCCGCATCACCCTCAGCTCCCGCAAGGTCGCCGCGCTCGAGAAGGTATGCAGCGAGCTCATCGAGCGCTCCAAGAGCAAGGACCTCCGCGTCAAGGGCCCCGTCCGCCTTCCCACCAAGACCCTCAAGGTCACCACCCGAAAGACTCCCTGTGGTGAGGGTTCCAAGACCTGGGACTGCTACGAGCTGCGCATCCACAAGCGCCTGATTGAGTACGTCGATTGCCTTCTCGCGAGATTTGCGCTTTTATCGTGTCTTAGCAAGAAATACTAACTGGTTCGATCAGTCTGAACGCTCCCACCGAGACCGTCAAGCAGATCATCGTTAACATTGAGGCCGGTGTCGAAGTCGAAGTTACCATTGCTGCTTAAAGCAGGATGCGGAAATGAGAAAAGGCAAAACGGCGGATGGGTATCGGAAGGATTACTTAGACTCAAAGATACCCGTGTTATTTCAGCTGCGTTCTAGAGATGGCCTGCAACTACACATGCCTGCGGGAACTACGCTGCAGCATAATCCAAGCCTAAGCCAATTTACGAGACCAATATTCTAACTGATCGCTTCCTGTCATCTGTGAACAATTCTGTTATTCGTGATCCATCTTAATGTAACTCCAGGGTATCTAATTACCACCTCTCAAGACCGCAAACCTTGTAGCCTATTCCTGTCAGACCAGTCGATAAATGCCACTCTATTCTATATAATGCATGTCAGTCACCCTCGAACGCTTTTAAAATAGCCCTGCTCTCAAAAGTTCCAGACGCAATCTTCCCTCAGAGGTGGTACTTCAGGCATATCTCCTTCAAACTTGCCGGTAGCCATCATGGTAGCATACGCTGCTTTGACGCTCGCGGTGTACATAGCGAGGTCGGGTTCTGTGTCCTTGTTGTAACCGGGCGGACCGGTAGGGAAGAAGATTTTACGCCACGACCCATCCGCGTTCCGTACGCCTGGTGCCGGATAATATGTGCCACCGTCCTGGGGCATCTCGTCTTGGTATTTGTCGTCCACCTTCCACTTATATATCACCGGCTGCCCGTTGAACGACACGATGCGCCCGTTCGCAGCCTTGGAAATATAGCTTTCAGGGGGTGGGTGCTGCCTGGTACTACCTGGTGCATATGGGCCTGTCGATGCTGCAGACGTTGCCTGTCCCTGCGTTTGCGGTTGTGTTTGCGGCTGCGGTTGGGCTTGGGCGAAAGGGTTACTTGACGATGGTGCGAATGCGGACGGCTTCTGCGCCGTGAATGGGTTGGTAGTCGGTGGCGCGAAGGCGTTGGAGGATGGTTGATTAAAGGGATTGCTGATAGCTGGAGTAGGGGCAGAGGTGTCCATCTGTTGATCAGAAGACGACGCGTTTGTCGGTTGGAGAAAAGGATTGGCGACTGGTTGCTGGCCGAATGGGCCAGGCCCCGAGGTTGGCGGTCCTGAGGAAAAAGGATTGGGGGCGGAAGAGGGTGCTGGCGCGCCAAAAGGGTTCGGTTTCTGCCCTAAGGCTGACGGTTGCCCGAAGGCGTTCTGAGTGGTTTGGCTAAACCCTGTTGGCCCCGAGGTGTTGCTTGCAAAGGGATTTGGCTTCTGGCCCAAAGACGAGGGTTGTCCGAATGCGGGAGCGCCTTGTCCCATCTGTGAGGGCTGTCCAAACGTAGGTTTCGAAGCTCCCATCGTAGAGGGTTGGCCGAATGCTGGGGCAGACGGCGCTGCACCGAAGGGGTTAGGTTTTTGTCCCAGCGCCGACGGCTGGCCAAATGAAGCTGTGCCGCCAGTAAACGGGTTCGGTTGGGGGTTCGACTGGGGAGCCGCCGAGAAGGGATTGGAAGCAAGAGGATTGGGAAACCCCGCCTGGGGGCCAGACGCTGCATCTCTTGCAAATATGCCGCTGGTATTACCTTGTGGAGTGCTCTGCTTGCATATATCTATACGGTTGGGATGCCTATTATCGGCAGAGAGGATGAAATTGATTGCACCATCGAGGTTGCTCAGCGCCGTCTGGTTCTGCTGTTCAGCTTGTTGGATGAGAGCTGCGATCTCCGACATCTAGCTCAAAGGTTAGCAGTGCGAAAAGAAACAACATCACCAAATCATACCGCCTGTTGCTGATTGCTGGATCCCCTAACATATAACATGACTTCCTCGGGGCTTTGCTCCCGTGGATATCCTCCGAATAATTGCTCCGGGGCATCCCTCCCGGGGCCATAACACGACAACATCCATGATGGCTTCTCAATTCCCAAGTCCGTTCGTATAATATCTGCAGTGATCTTGTAGGGGATTTCTTGGTTCCTATTTCCTCCCGTGCTTAGGGCGCTAAAACGGTTCGTATTAGAGCTAGGAGCTCCGAACGGATTCGAATTCGCGTTAGTGTTGGCGCCCGGGTGCTCAAAGCGGCAGGCGGCTGTGTTCACAGACGTTAGTTTTGATACCTGGAAATAAAAAGGTGACTATATCGTACTATCATTTTTGCAATAGCCTCGTTGCCAGAATTTGCAGATGCGCCCCGTCATGTTGATAGGATGGGTGAAATGATGATGTGGTTATGTTAATGGACAAGCTCAAAAAGCTGGCGGATATTATCAGCCTTTTCAGCCTTGCAGGAGACTAATGTGGGTCCCGGTGTTTTCTCAATGGAGCTTTAGTATTTTGATACCTGCATATGCGTTTAAAGATGCGATTTGATTATCTTTAAGCGCATATCCGGGTACACTCTTTTCGTTAACATGCAAGTACCGATTGATTGATCCATGGCTTCATCAAATATCAAATCACCAGACTAAAGATATGTCAACAAAAAGGATTTATTCACGTAATCTCCAAATCGCTATATACTTTTTCGAAAACCACTACCAACAAGTTTAGACTCGCGGCAGGTATACCTATAAGTATCCGTTTACATATAACCCATCTCAACTATCTCATCCTTGCGCAGTCGCCTTCACAAGAGGCTTCAATCCTCCCTCGATATAGGCAGACGATCTCCAATCTGACCAGTCGTGCTTCAGGAGACCCCAAGTCTCTTCAAAGTCCTGTGTCCCCGAGCGGACATAGTAGCTCCCCGAGATGACCCAGATAAACCATCCGGCCTTCTGCTCGGCCAGGTAGCTGGCGATGCAAGTAGCATACGTTCCCTGCCACGCGCTGCCCGACATATCGAAGCCGAACTCGGTTAGCAACACCGGGAACACGTTAACCGCCTTGGAGTCGTCTGCGTGCAACGCCTGGAAGCCGCTGCTGTATAGCGAGTTCTTGAGATTGTTGCAATTGTTCGCGCTGTTCTGGTAGTTGTGAATCTCTAGCACTAGCTTGTTGGCATAGCCCTGGAAGTCTGCCTTGTTGAACTTGGCGGTTCCCGGTGTGAATTCTGTGCCCTGAACTACTGGCGTCACGAAGGTGTCGAAATCAAGACCCGAAAGGAAGATAAGCAAATTCGGGTTTGCTGAGTTGATCGCACTTGTTCCTTTCTTGATGTTGGTATACCAATCCCTCCAGTTGTATGACTGGCTGCTGAGCGTCGGGTTGCTGTCGGGTTTGCGAAGCTCGTTGCGTAGCGACATGGACGTCAGCGCCGGCCAGTTTTTCCCGTGATTTGCCATATACGAGAGACCCCTAGTCCAGTTATCCACGTCTGCATCTATGTCAGCTGCGCGTACGAAGACTGAGGAGTCCAATGCCGCGTTACTCGCGGATTAGGATAGCCCCGATTCGCATATATAGGTCATGTACGTACTATAATCTGTGTCTCCGAACCAAGAGTTGCCGTCGTTGGTAGAGCAGCACCAAGCAGCCTTGGACATGTGGTTGTCTAAGTGGACAAAAACCTTTTGCTTTGCACACTCGGCGGCGACGGCGTCGAAAACTTGAAGGCGGGTAGTACTATCGTTAAAAGAAGGGTTCTTCGCAAGGAATTCCTTGTAGACTTTGGGTCCGTTTGTCTGGCCGAGCGCCTTGGTAAACGAGTCCTTCACGGTCGTATCCTTTCCATTGCTATAGATCTCGTCTATCATCTGGATGGCGTACGTCAGACGAATCGAATTCATGCCCACACTCTTGATCTTGGAGACGATGGTCTCGATAGACTGGTAGCGTAGTCCATCCGGAATCATTACTTCTCCGTGACCTGGCCAATTGGCACCTGCGTAGACGACATTTTCGCCCCGCGCATTTTTCATGTCACGGCCAGATGTGACAAGCGGTCCGTAGGGCCAACTATCGGCACGAGCATCAATATCCACCTTCAATGGTGAAGCCCAAGAGAAGGATGGGATGCCGCCCAAGGCAAGCAAAGACACAAGAGAACGACGCAATCCCGAGGTCATCATCGTGATAGAATGGCGTATTTTCTGCAGTGGTCATCATACCACTGCGAGGGACCGTATCCCACGGGGTGCTGCAGATTATATGCTATCTGCCAAGAAGAGCTTCACCGCATAGCATATATTTCCTCCGTATTATATTACTACCTTTCAATCTCTTAACCTCACATACGAGAATATTATCAGTGCCCTAAAACACTTTAGCAAGCTAGGCTATACCTGTAAGAGAGTGTTGTTTGGGGAAATTCCAAGATTGGGGACCTCGTAGGAACATCTTCCCGAGCGGCCGACTTTTCACCACCTCTCATATCACGACTGCAGTATAATCATGGCCTATGTAGTATTTACCCAGGAACGAAGAGGATTCGGGTGCCTATTGAAAACTAGAAAGTGTGGGGGACAGGGGTAAGTCTTCGTGACGCCAAGGTGGCCGCCGATGGGCGAAACAGGATAGGTAGTAGGAATAAATATTTCCGCCGTCATTCATCCAGATTGCCGGCAAATCATCTCCACATTCACCTTCTCGGCCAGCGGAAGTTATAACTTATCCTAGGCGAGACTCATCCTAGGCCAGATCCAGCCAGCCCGTTAAATATGTATTGGCCTGACTGTTGGACTTAATTTATCCCGTCCAGTCCCATAAGAGGAAAGCAACAAGGGATGCCCACCGCCAGCTTCTAAATATAATTTAGGCTGGACCATTCGAATCGTCCACCTTGCTAATACATAGCTTCTAGCTTGCATGGGTTTAATCTCATCAGCTGGCGACTACACACACATCACCATCCATTTCGTAGGTATAACTCATTTTTATCATATCTGATCGAGAACACCTAAAATTTAAATACGCTTCCTAAACTCAACCATAGGACCGTCTTTAAAGCTGGTGAATTGGTCGATCAGCTGGAACTCGTCTACGCGTCGCCGACCCCATTCAAGATCAGGACTGCCCTCGGCCGGATCAAAGCCGGCTGACTTGCGCAAGTCGTACGTGTATAGCGTTCTAGCTAACGTCGTCATCATCTCAATATATGCAAGGCCCTTTCCTATACACCCTCGAGGTCCGACGGAGAAGGGGCAGAAAGCGCTCTGCGCCAGCGATACGTCTTGCGCTGTCGTATTGCTCCCGCTTGCTTCTCCAAAGGTCTTATGCGAGCCCTCCATCCAGCGCTCCGGAACGTACGAGAACGGACGCGGGTAGTACGCCGGATTGTGGTGAACAGTATAGTGAGGAGTGCCGACGACGATCCCCTCGGGTATAAACTCGCCGTCGATCGTGATACCGCCTTTCAGGACTTCGCGAGGCAAGATTCCGCCCACCGAGGGAGACATGCGCATAGCTTCGTCGATGCACGCCCGGAGGTAGGTACACGAGTTTAGCGCTGGGCCTTGACAGATCTCTTCTACGTCGCTAAATCTCGCCCGTACTTCTTGGCTCGCTTTCTGCAATGCCGCTTGATTGCGGACCAGATAGAACAGCGTTGCCGCCATCGCGGTCGACGTCGTGTCGCTTCCTGCGATGATCCTTATATAGTACTGTTAGCTAACGCAGCCTACACACGGGGGTTGCCTGCTCGGATGGATACACACAGCAGATTTGATTCTCCCCATAGCTCGGTCATCGCAAATCCCTGCCCGGTTTCGGGGTCCCGTGCTTTCAGCAGATGGTAGAAGAAATCGCGACGGTCCGTGTCGTCGCCTAGCTTGGTGCGCTCCGCAAGCTGGGCTTTGCTGTATGCCATGTACTTCGCTCGGCCAGTCGCAATCCTGCGGAACAAGATCTTATCAAGGTGAAGCTTGCCGACGGCAGACATGGTTCCGCACTACCATAGTTAACAAATAGATACATTCCGAAAAGAAAACGGTAGGCTCCGGATACTCACGATGAGATGCCTCGTGGTAGCAAGAGACACCAACCCGAGTGCGTATCGGTTATCCGGCCTTTCCAGCATGTGGAAGGCTTTCCCAAAGCACAAATCACCAAGTATGTCCATGGCAAGGTAATTACACCAGTCAGCCATGTTTTTGGCTACGGTCCATCCCTTTTGCTCGTCGCTCGCACCGAGGCCAATCTGCTCGCAGAAGGATCGCACGTTGGCTAGGATGTACCTCTCCATCTCCTTGACGGCTCCATCCGAGAACGCCTGCGAGAGGACCCTCCTCTTCCGGGCATGCAGGGCTTTATCTCTCGTGTTGTGGGTATTGGATGCCGGGTGTACGAACGCGTCGTAGAACTCGGCCTTCCGCACGTTGGATTTAAATCCGTAGATATCCTTCAAGGCCGTGTTCGAGTTGAAGGAGACGCTGTTAGGTCCAAACCGCACGACCTTTCCGTATTTCTCGTGCAATCGCCAGAACTCCAGGTGTCGGTCTCCTTTCCAGGCGTGGTATAATTGGTAGGCGTCTGTGATCTTGGCTATAACCGGACCCGGATACTTAGCTAGAGGGTGGAAGAATAATCGGTAGATGACGAGTCCAACAACCTAGGGCATATACCAGTTAGTGTGCTCGAGCGTAGCTTATACAATTGTTGTAGGTTTCTTACATAGATTGATGCTAACGCAGCCGTAACAGTAACGAAATATATCAAATTAACGAGTATCGTAGTCATATTCTGTACTGTGTAGGAAGGATACCCAGGTAGGTATCCTTTCTATAATAAGGTAAATGGTCAATTTATCTCTGTCTCTCGAGTTCGTCGCCGCCGGATGGTCAACAAAAATTGCTTGTCATGGCCTCGTGTTATGCCCACTACATGTTCGTATAGCAGCTACCATCTCCATCTATTATACAATATCTACCACCAGACAAGTTCAAATATATCCACGACAGAAGATCTCGGCTTTTCGCGGTAGCAAAAACGCAATAGCGAGCCGAAAGTACGGAACGCGGACGGAAACTGACGTCGTCCATTTTACCCAATGAAGTTTAAGGCCGACGCGGTTACCAGCGGAATCGTCAGAGCCGCGTCTCCAATTTGAAGTTACTATCCTTCTAGCTTGTCATCTTTTCTACCTATCACACTTTCACAGATGTAATCATTCTGTCACGAGGTCTGGATTGGTTGAGTACTTGGTCGTATATGCCGATCTATGGAATTCGTTAACCGGTCTATGCCGCTGCAATTGATGTTAAGGGTGCATACTCACCAGTCTCACCTACCTATATAAGAGCCCGTAACCTACCTGTTTGCTTATCAATATGCTGTTATCTTGTCGGAAAGGTATGATGATGAGGTGGTGGGGGGTTACTACAGGCGGGTTATTCCCATGCTCTTATGTACCTAACCTATGTACATAGGTAGTCTTTGTCTTAACTGTTTGAATACATTATGTATTATAGGCGGTTAATCTTAGGGCAAACTTTGGTATAAACTCGAATAATCTGCATAATTCGAATACTCGGGAAGTAAATTCGAGAGCGCGCTTGGTTCTGGTTTTATATGCCCAGGAAGGCAAAGTCGAGACACGGGCGGATGAGACAATTATAACTGTGCATAGATTACTACCTAGTGTATAAGTAGTAGGTGCATTAGTATTATTTTACTAGCGTTCCCCATGCGTACCAGGGTATGCCACCTACACTGCACTAGGTTAAGTAATCATACGATACCTAGGTACTAACTTTAGATAGTGAGGTACGTATGTACTGCATGTATGTAGTGAAGTCACATGAGGTACAAAGGTGCTTATCATACCTGCATGTACATACCTACCTATCAAAGTGTAACGCTGAAAGGCCCCTGACTTTTCGAATTCAATTAGATTTTCAGGGGTCTTTGTTAGTTCCTCCAGTTAAGCCACGCACTTCACTAACGGCTTTCACCCTTCTCCCCGTCCCCGTGGTCGGTGAAACATTGTGTATCATGGCTTGTACTTCCTTGTAGGAAAAGGTGCCTCTTCGTTTATTCTTCGTATTTATTTTCCATCCTTTCTTCTCGCACGAAACATCATTCATTATTCACCCCATCCATTCTTTTCTGCCCTTGCAATTCCAACTATTATACTTTCCTTTTTTATTTTTCCGCTTCGCTTTATCACAAGCGATACCTCGAACTACGCCTAGGTCACATTCATTCTAACTACATACCCAACCTAAGTAGCGTTACCCGTTCTTCGTTACTCGGGAGCACCCGAACTTGCAAATCGGCCATTTGGGTAATGAAGAAGACGATCGTGAAGTACAACACCAAACACGCTCCACAACCCAATTGTCGCCTATCTCATACGTAATGAGTCCCCTCCCGATTAACCCGGCGATGTCGCCGACGGTATCGATGGCGTCGCACTTTGCTCGAGCCATCTCCTACGTCTTGACGACGCGCGACGAGGACGAGGATGCAAAATGTCACCCGCGACCTGACATAGACCTTTGCGAAAAGCCTCAGGCATCCAATCATACGATGGCGATCTTAATCGGGGTACTAGGGTAAGTCTATATTATGGTTGCGAAGGCTGAAAATGAAAAGAAAAGAAAAGAAAAGAAAAGGAAGACGATGAGATCTATAATTTGGAAGGAGAATCCGAGAATGAATACCTGTTGACGAGACCCTTTATAATAGCGGCCTCCTCGTTGTCTCAACAGTCGGGACGCTTTTCGTGCTACACATCCGGCGCCAGCGGCAAGAGGCGCAAGAGTTCCCCAAGAGCAACCAAGAACTTGATGATTACGGTGTCGGCCCCATGCCCCCTGCTCCTGCTGCCAAACCTCCCAGACCTATCAGACCTGAAAACGCGTATCGCCAGCCGCACGCGGAACCAGATGATGGCGACGACCTCAAACCGCCCGGGCGGCGGGATTCCCTAAACTCTCTTGCGCGCTCCATTCGCGGTAACCCAGATGCTTACAGGTCAAGGGCAGACGACATATCGCACGATATGAAACCCGTAGAGCCGGCAAGCCAGCTGTAAGGAGGAAGAGGGAAGAGAGAAGAGGGAAGAGGAAGAAGAAGGAAGGAGATGAGTGAGAAGGAGGATGTGACGCCCATCGTCAAACCCTGATGGATAAAGATCAATAAGTAAAATAAGTAGATCTAGTGATAGATCAATCTGTAGTGTGGAACTAGTTTTCGTCTTCAACTACCTAAGCTCTTGCGTAAAATGATTGTGGATTTTGCTTCACTTCTGTCTACTATGTATGATCTCGCATCGTTCTTTCTATAACTAGCTTATTTAGCTTTGAGCTATATATGGCGATGGTCATATTCAATATAATACACATGGCAGCCGAGACCAAGCTATTACATTTGCCTTCGATAATATGATGGTTAAGCAGCTAACCCAGGAGATCCCAACAACCTCACAATGAGGCTTTCACTCTAGGGTAATAATATCTGGTTGTACTCGTTAAAAATAGGTAACTTAAAATCGAGACATTTGATCGTCTCGCTCTCAATTCGATACGTCGTCGTCAAGCAAGTCTCGATACCCCTAAAAAGCACACTCATAAGCTCTGAGACGGAACGCCTCTCGCAGAGGTGGCCTGTCTTGCCTGTATAACTCGCGACGCATAATCTACACGTTTATACATCCCTGTACGATGGGCTACTTTGTACATCTGATGCCAATTATCTAATTCCTAAACGCCACGCTCCCACGAGGGTCCGATTGCTTCAACCTAGTCTCCAAACCATGGGTACGACACCCGCAAGCCACGTTTCGTCGACAACCGCTTCGCCATTGCATGAGCTACCTTGTTCGAATTACTCCAAGCCCCCAATCATTAAGCTGTTATGAATATGGTCCATCATGTAGGCGCAAGTAGCTCAACTCTCCAACCCAGCATATGTACTTAATTGATTCAGTAAGAATGCCCACTTAGGACTCTTGAGACTTTGCAATGCCCCAAAGAGACTGTCTCTCGTGGGGAGAGCGTTTGCTGGAATGCTGGCCGGGTTGTTTGGATCTCTCGCCTTCTCGCTTAGTTTCCTAAGGGTGGAGACACCGCAGGTGATGATATAAAGAATATCCACGTCTTCGCGTGGTTGAGACCTAGGATTGCCGCTTATACGGGGAGTTGGTTCTGCTTGTGTGCAGAGAGTACGAATAAGACGGAAAAGATTCTGCGCGAAGCCTTCTCCGGATGATAGCCAAGCGCGCGTTACTCCAGACTCGTATCCCGGCGCCAGCTGAGCAACGATGTCGGCGGCGAGTAAACCTTGCATTAGCAACGCTTTACGCGCCTCGACAAATGATGGTAAATTTGCTGGGCGGCTCTCTTTGTTTTGATCCGGAATGGGAGAGACAGCGAGACCGAAAGTCCGCGTGAGAAGCTCGTAAGGAGGCGAGGCGGCCGCGTCGGCTGCGAAGATAATCTTATAGTGCGTTCTGTTCGGCTCGTCGCGCGCTAGTAGTTTAGCTAACGAGTCGACAGCGTGTGGGAGATACGGGTGAACTGAGGGCTCGAATGGCGAGAAAACCACCCGCTCTGTCGTTAGGGACGGCCCAGGCGACGGGGCGAAAGCAAGAAGAAATTCTAGGAGACAAAGTGCTTGTTCGCGACCGGGTATCTCGACGGAGCTAGTAATATTGGATAGCAAAACTATAACATCCTTCATAAAGTCCAGCGTATTCCTTGGGGCTCGTAGCAGGTTATCATGTGTACCTAAAGATCGTATCACGCCACAAAGGAACTTGACTACGATCTCGTCGGCAAGGACTGCTTGGTTAACTTCCATAAATGAGAGGTTCCGTAGTATCGTGGTGATTGCTAACAGACGATCAGCAGCATGTTCAAGCTCGTACTCCGCGTCTCCGAATATGTGAGGTTTACGAAGGCTTATAGCTTCGAGGCGGCAGCTTCTCATGACATCTTCATATGAAGTAAGATCTATTTCGTCCGAAACCGGATCTGCCTTATCCGCGAGCAAGTCAACCTGCTCTTCTGCGCAATCTATAAGAGACTCCACCAAGTCATCGCAAGCTCTCAAGTCGATTGATAAGTTTGGTATGTACTCGGCTGCGCGCGATACAGATCCCAGAACATCAAGAGCTAGCCGTACTTCTCCATGTATGCCACACTGAAGGCTTTTTGTGAGAGCGTGGAGATCAATATGGCCGAGCTCCTGAGGTGGTGGAACATCTGGCCGCCACTTTTCTAAATCATTCCCTAGCTTTCGTATTGACTCGAGATCAAAGCCGCCATAGAAATCGGGGAGCATCTCTCGAGAACACGGTGAATATTCGTCAGGATCTGACGAGAATGGTCCTGGAAAGGGCAAGTTGGCGGTGGTACCGTTCGTATGTGCTCCATCCGTCTGCTGAGCTGGGAGTTGCACCGAAATACTTCCACCCTTACCGGTGGATGCGGGAGATTGTACGGAAAAATCGCTACTCGCCTGTCTGGCGTCAATACTTCTTGACATACTATTTCTTACATGTCCTTGGTTTGTATTAGGCGGCTGCTGACTTATTCGCGGCTGCTGAGGTGTTGAGAAACCGTTGGCGTTAGCTTGCTGCATAGCAGGTGTTATCTGCTTCATGGGTGTCTGTACGTGTGGCTGCTGCATCTGAGGGACCTGTCCGGGCTGCATGGGCTGCCCGTGCGGTAACTGGCCCATTCTCTGTGGTACGCCTTGAACTGGTACACCAGGCATACCCGCTGGTCCGCCCGCCTGCTGCTTCATGTGCTGAGTTCGCTGTTGCATCGTCCAAACCTCCTCGAACTTTAACAGATTTTGCTCGTATACGCCTCGTACTTGAGCCGGGGCTGAGGGAATTTGCTGTGGATTAAAACCAACCGACGCGGCAACTTGCGTCCAGAGGTTTCGACCTGTTACATTCCTATAGCCACCATACTTGGAAACATTCTGGAAAAGTTGAAGAAGGTGTAAAGGTCGGCCTTCAATAATGGGATTTATTTCTAGGGGAAGTTGCCTCATGCTCATAAACGCCGTGAGGTTTTTTAAGAACGCTTCAGGATTGTTAGCTCGTGGCATCTGCGGGGCTTGCTGAGGGTGCATGACGCCGGGTGGCATCTGGCCATTCTGCATCGGCATTCCTTGCTTGGGCATCATGCCTCGACCTTGGGCCATGGCCTGAGCCTGTATCTGCGCTGCCATCGGCATACCGCCTTGCTGAAGCTGCTGTTGCAGGCGCATTTGATATAACATCTTTTGCTGGTCCATCGCGCCGCGCCCTTGCGCTGCCTGCATCTGCTGCATCTGCATTTGTTGGGTAAGCATCTGGCTCGGGTGGACCTGCGACATCTGCTGAGGCATTTGGCCCATCGACGGAGGCATCATATGTTGCGCCATGGGATTCTGGGCTGAGGGCGGCCTAGCAGGCGATGCGCCAGGCGTGTAACCGGGATTGAAACCTTGCGGGAAATTCTGCGGGTTCATGAACATGCCCGGTTGCGGTGTGCCGCCGTGGTCTGATGGGACCGGCGAAGCCTGAGGGCCAAACTGTTGGGAGGCCGGAGAGAAAGGATGCGGTGACGCGGTGTTGACGCGTTGCGGCACGCTTCCCGGACGCAGTTGATTGCCGGCCATCACAGGCGATGGAGACGCGTTCGTCGAGCCATTGGGTTGCAAGTGGGGATAATGCTGCGGTTGATTAGGATTCTGCGGCTGCATCGCATTTGGCTGGAAGCCTAGGAAGGGTGATTGCTGAGGCGTGTCGGCGCGCGACGTCGGGAGCATGCCCGGGTTTTGTCGGGGAGACGCGCCAATGCTATCCTCCCTAGGTCGAGGCCGTTTCGAGGGGATGACGGGGTTGGTTTGATATGCGGGATTCGAGAAGGAGGGCGAGGCGTTGCGCATCGGGCCATTCTGCATAGCAGCGGCCATCTGTTGAGGATTAAACTGGCCAGCAGCCATGTGATTGAACTGGGCATTATTTGCCATGAAGGCCGAGGGATCCATCATGCCTCCCGGCCCGGCACCCATTCCTCCGCCTGCTCCCATGTTATTCGGGTCGTTCATGTGTGGGAAGCCGTTGCCATTATGGTTTTGGACGGCAGCGGCCTCGTTAATCCAAGAGCTCATGACGGATGTAATCGCGAATGGGAACCCATCTGACTGCAATTCAAATAAAGTTAGCGATTACAATGTATTGTGACAAGTACATTGAGATAGAATAATGATAAATTAAAGCTGGTAGTGTCACGGGCGACGACTGTCGCGATGGAATAGGGAAAAAAAGTCGCGTCGCGGGTCGATTAAGGAATTTTGGGGGGTGAACGGCCACGGTGCGATCGGGGAAAATAAGTTGGTACGGTCGCAGGTTTTCGGTGGTTGGGGGGAGATAGGTTTGCTTGGGAAGGGCACTCTAGCAGAGCTAAGTCTAGTGCTGCGACTTGCTGCAGTTGCTGGTAGCGCCGCGAATTGGGGCGGGGATTGAGCATTCGCCAGCGAAGAGTTCCCTAAACGGAGCGCTATGCTAAGCTGTATCATAGGTATCATAGGTACCATATGTACCTTAATAGTGGTGATAGGTACTGATAGGTACTTTGGCATGTACATAAACAGGTGTATACAGTATGAATAGACTGTATATACCGTGCTACATATGCCTTACGAAAATAGAAGGGAAGTGATAGCGATAACAACAACCTAGGCAAAAAGTGTACGGAAACGGGGACGGGAACGGGAATGGGAATGGGAATGGGACATGAACGGTAAAGGTAGCAAAACCTCCTCCACCGGCGAAAGGGCGGCGCCCACTTTCGTAATTGGCAGATCCGAGCCTGAGTACGGAAGTTGGATCTATAATAGTGATAATACGGAATTGACAGACGGGGTCGTATGTACGGCCGTGCCAGTTCCGCCAGTCGCAAAACGACCTTGTCACCGTTATCGCTATTATGTGTGCCAGTGACAGTGACAGCGACCGATCGTTTCAATGCAGCACTGCGCATTAACACATCAACACCATCTGACACTTGGAGGGTGCTGACCGAGGATGTGACAGGATAAGGTTATCCTTTTTTTCAGTAGTGGTGTTCATTATATTTGGACACAGTACATACGGAACACCCGAATGCCACTCGAACGAGGACCAGTGGGTTTAGGACGGACAGGATAGATACCTCCTAGGTAGATAGACTGGTAGGCTAGAGGAGAGGAGACGACGATAACGAAAATAATATGAGAGACAGGAGGCAGATAACAAGGTTTTACCTACCTAAGCTAAAAACTAACGGTGGTGAGTGACGACACCTCAATCACACGCTTTCTCTTTTCTCGTCTCTCCGTGCGTGTTTGCTAGGCGCGAAAGGATGGGAAGGGCGGTAAGTAGGTAAGGAAGAGGCACTTGTCTTTTTGGCGAGTTGGCCCGGTCCTGTTTGGGCTGCGGGCTAAAAGTGCTGGCTGGACTCTCTGGCTGGGAGCTGGGAGCTGGGAGCTGAGTGATGGGATTGAAGGTCTGGGTAGGTCAAGAAATTTTCTGACTGCTGGCACCACCTTCCATCCGAGAGAAGCAGGGAACGGACAGTACTACTTAGCCCACCTACGCTAATCCTAGATAGGTTTAGAGTGGAAACGATGAGAAATCATGCGTCGATGCGCGATTAGAATTATTTAACCTAGGCTGTTGGGTGGTCAGGGAAGAGGGAGAGAAAAAAAATTAAAATAAAAAGGAGGCGGCTTAGTGGTGAAAGGAAACGCAGGAGCTGTGTGGCCTGCGAGAAAGAATGGTAGATGATTGGCTCAAGAGTTGCAGCTTAACGTTCCACTCCGTTATTCCGTGAGGTCACACCATTGGTGGGATAACAAAGGACCCAACAGATAAAACGAGATGTACCTACATGATGTACCTAGACCTGCTTGGATGATAAATCGGTAACCCGAATATTACCCGACAGGTTAAGGCCGAAACAATTGTCATTCTTCAGTTGCTTTGACGAAAGTGCTCTAGGAACACGACATATCTAACATAAAAAAAAGATAATAATGGTAATAGGCTTACCTACCAAAATCGTGAAACCGACAACTATTCGATCTAACAGAATGTCAATATAAGAGACAGAGAAAGAAAAAAAAAAAAAAAAAACTCTTGCTGTCCAGGACGAGAAATCGGCACCGTCTTTCCGCAGATGAATGAGGAGCGATTAATTACCAGGCACAGGATATAATCATAGGACTAGATCGTCTAGATCCAAAGTGCGCTGACTTCTATCCGGTAGAGGCCTCACTCTGGCCGCCAACTCCTAGTACCCAAGGGAAGCCGTTCGTATTCTTGTTGTCGAGCACACAGCAAGTTCTCAATACAGATCGTGTCCGTAGATATCCCACCTCAGCTTTCGAGTATTCGATCAGACTACTCTCCCGTGCCATAAGTTTGTTTCAACTTCATCATGCCCTCCGGATATCCCTTAGCATTAAGGTGGGAAACTGGAGTAGGAGTTCATTCTGTAATATTATATGGCCTCGTAGGAAGTAAGTGCCAGGCCCAATAGTCCCAGATTCGATGATTACCACGGGAGTGGTCGACAATTTCAGTTCCAACAGACGAGGAAACGAAGGCCAGCTTGGCAAGGTTACACTTTTGTTAGGCTTGACAACTGACCGATATGATATCCCAATCTCGAAGCTCGAATTTCCATGGTAGCTCAAAATCTTCGTGAGGTCGGTACCTGTATTAGTTGAGATTTATTAGTTCAGTATCCCGACAGTCCTAACCTAGCCAACTTAGAATATCTCCGGAATTGCCAAGCATTCCGTAGATGACCTTTATACTCAGTGCTTCCCATCATAAAGAAAGCAGATACTCGAACGTGGCTGTCAGCCTGAAATGCTGATGCTAAACAGGTGCATATATTGCATAGTATATGCATGCTGACACCCGACTCTGTGCAGATGCATGTATAAATGCAATAAATGTAATGTACCTCGGAGTATTCGCCTGTGATCCGCGTCTAGTGATTATACAGAGAACCAATAGGGATTTCCTAGTAATCCAATGCTATGGACTGCAAGGGTGAACAAGAAATGTGGCGTCTCCATGTGCCGGTCAAACGACGCAAGTACTTTTCCGGGAGGTAAATGTACGCGAGAGTATCGGCCTGTAATTTTGCCTGCCGATCAATAGTAGACTAAGGGCTTCTTTTTCAAGCCCTTCTTCATCCCTATTGCTCATTCTTAAGAGCCGACGTCCTCCAACAATTGGATGTTGCCAATAGACCTCGAAACGGAGATGCGTACGCCGTACGGTAGACGTAGGTAGTGTCATTTTGACTCAGGCCTGCTCGTGAGAGTGTTGACGAGTCGAAAACCAACATCAAGCAAATAATTTGGAAGATTGGTAGGAACTTAGACAAGGAAAAGACATTGCTAGTTTATATAAATCTCCATCAATGTTCCGTAAGGCCGAATTGAGGTGGTCGTCGCTGAAGGTCTGATGAAATGATGAACTGATCCCTGCAATTATGGGCAATTATGGCGGAGACTATCATCCCGGTCGAAATTCCATTGTTGGTTGTGGGCCGTTTTGCGCGACGTTGGGTGCCCATACGTACGCTGTACGCTCCAGTTCTTGATCAATTTTCCTCCGATGGGATCGAGTAGACGATAGAAGCAAGCTTCGTGAGGCCTAGCTCTTCCGTGATATAGAATAGAGCTCGATTTTACTGCATCGCTGACGCTGAGGATTTCTTCGAGGTTGAGAAACCCTCCCCTTCCGCAGTACGCACGTACAGTATACTCAACCCGCCCCGATACCGTTTTGGGTAGGGTAAATCCATGTAAGTGGGAAGCAAGCTTGTCGTTCAGGACAGAACAATGACAACTGCACGGCTTGGAGAAGCAACACGCAGGACAAAAAGAAGATTCGGGAGAGAAGGTATGTGTGAGTAGGAAAGAAGAGCGATGGGAGAATCCGGAGAAGACAAAAGATAAACGGTCACAAGGGAACGAGCAAGGGTGGCAGATGGGCCTTCTGAGTACGGTAGGGCGAGAGGGAAAACGGAGAGCCTGAGGGAAAACCGGTTACAATACCTGCTTCCTCCATGTACCGTACCGCGATCATTATTATTATATTACTTACATGCTTTTCCAACCGAGTCGTCAAACTCAGCTGAACAGTTGAACAGTGACACTTCCCAGTCTAGCCAGCTATTTTTCTTATATTGCTCTTTTTTGTTTGGCGCTTTCCATCGCTAGATGTCATGCTTTGAGCTTCTCTGCTAGTGTGCCCGAATTTCCAACGAGAATACTACTATGTAGATGTGCTTTGTGAAAGCTTAAGAAGCGGGCAAATCCGTCAAACTTCCCCCGCTGAATCGTCTTTAATCTTCCCCACCCAGCGCAAGCTTCGCTCGTAATGCTGCTCTATTAGCCAAAGGCCTATTAAATCTTAAACCAGATCTCAGCCACATTCTGCAAGTTATCCCACGGGCCACGGCGTATTAAAAGTTTGTTCCCGACCCCCTTAAGCGATGTTCGTCTTGTTACTTCTTCATGTCTCCAACGGCAGACTACCGAAATATCGAATCTACTATGTAGAGGATCTTACCCCCACAAAGAGCCTACGAATAACCTAACCTAGACAAAGGCAGGCCACCACCATAGCCTAGAAGTATGTATAGTGGTATGCTATCTCTCAATCAGTTATAAGAACTTGAATTCCAGAGTTTGACTTTGGTTTGACTCGACTTGACTTCATCTTGTAATCTAATTTCACGTTACTTCTCTGATACGCGAAAAAAAAAAAAAAAAAAAAAAAAAAAAGACGGTGGGTCACCTATCGGTCTATCAGCTTGATGTAGGTAGAAATAGAGGGGTCCGAGAGGTCAGGGGTTCATAAAGTTCTCACAGCACACTGGCCCTGATGAAGGAGATACATAGCGGACACAGTCATCAATGAATAACATGTAATCTACACAGGCGAAAACACATTGCTGCTTAATTATAGTCATAGACATAGGTAATACTCGATTTTCATTTTGACTTATTCTAGAGTTCTATACAGACTGCTAACCTAGAGCTATGAAGACCTTAGCAATGGGGCAAAGCGCTGCAATGCAAGGACGCTTGTATCTGGTACACATGACCCACGCTTTTTGTTACCTTGCACGTTTCTAGGCATCTTTTCTATCACGTATAGTGAGTTGATTTAGATCAGAATCATCGCCGTGATACCGTCTAAACCTAAGACGGTCCCTTTCGAAGATGCCTGCGGGATCTCCCGCGACTATGCGGTAACAGCGATCCAGGCTCTCGCGGATCTACGTCGCAACCAAGACTGCCCGCTCCGTTCCATTGAAGCTAATTCATCGTGCTCCTACAGGGCGAAGCCGAGTCACGGATTCTTGCATACGCAGAACATTCCAAGGGTTCCGTACAGTCCTGTGTCGCTAAGCCCGGGCTTATTGAAGCTCCGGGCAGGGAGAGGCGGATAATCCCTGGGCTTCCAACCATCGACTTGCGCGAATTCGCAGCGGCACTACTAGATCAAGTTGTCAATGGACTCGAGAAGGATACGCTGCTAAACGATTATATGGTCCGGATTGGGCAGCGAGCTTTGGGCGAGTGAAAAAAGCTCGAATACTATTTTAAACTCATTAACTTAGTAAACTAAGATGCAAGATGCCCACGACCTATCCGATCGGTTCAGAACCATTGTTCTGTATCTGTGCCAGCATATACTGATATATACCTGACTAGCTGATATGTCCTATAACACAGTCTGTGATTATGTGTAGATCTCATGTAATTATTGTCGCATATTATCTATATATACTTGGAGGAAATTGATGTAGTGACCTAGCCAATATTTTTCCTCGTTCACACGAACACAATCACACCAGATATAACCTTCTTTGAACATATCTTGCAATAACTTCTTAGACTATCAGATCTTAAATCTCACCATCGGAAACTACAGTCTTAGTGGCTAGGTAGGTAACTAACCAACTTACAAAATGTTGTCTACAAACATCTTTGTGTCGGTTATCTCATTGGTAGCCGCTATGTGTCATGGCCATACTCAAATCCCCGAAAGCCACGAAAGCCCACCAAGTGGCTATTCGTTATCTAACCTCACATGGGTTGGCAAAGCTTTCAAGCATGGCTCTGATATTTCTATCACCGGTTCTAGCATGCGGAATATTGAAGCGCAAATTCGTGAAATTAACCCCAAATTCTCGTGGGACGACCAAGAGAACGCCGACTCAACAGTTTCACTCCAGAATAGCAAAACACATTTGACGTGCGATCCAAATAACATCTGGTGGGCTCAAGTTTTTAGGATTGAGGAGGGGATCGACTACCTGAAGGGCATCAAGGGGAGATGCCACATGGGCCCTGGTCCGCGGGTGTGCACTCGCATAAGTTGCAGCTATAAGTCGGCAATTTGGTGGTGCAATGACAACGACCATGATATCTATATGGACTGCTCGCTCTGGAGCCAGTACGCTCAAGATATTGTGGATGCTTGCCAGACGCACGATGCGAGCGCCCGTGTGAGGGGCCAAAAGTTCAATAACGAGCAGAACTGGAATGTGATGGTAGGGTTTGACAATGACCATTGTTAAAGACTTCGAATCTCCCGATACGCCCACCATTAGTAGATCATAGCGTTGGCCGTATTTCGCGGCGTTACTTTATGTAAGTACCTAGATAACCAGGTAGTAAGTATTCGTACAATAACTTTATATCTTAGTATCTAATTATGAACTGTGCAAGTTGAATGTGCATGTGTTATGATGTTATGAGGTGGAACCAAACAACTTGGGAATAACTTCGTTGTTCCGAGGAACTCTAACCTAACTATGGCTAACTATACGTATTAAACATATCTTTTGTCTTAGATCTTTTATCTAGGATCTTGCTAGTATGTGATCGTAGTAATAGAACCAACTTAATGTCTACCTAGTATCTAGGCGCTTAAAACAATGCTTGTACGATGCGCGAGGAGAATAAGATGTGCTTTTTTCTATTATCAGAAGTCCACGATACGAAGGCTTTTGACAAGTTTTCCTTCTAGTACAATTACAAATTGCCTCCTAACAATACCAATTAGAGCCCCTAATTGTCTCCCAACCACTCAACCCAGTATTCTTTTCAGTTAATATGCATAGGAATAGCCCCCTCCCTGTTTCATTCCTCAATTATATCCAGGGCACCCTTATCCCCTGGTTCCAAGGCCGGTGACGTTTTATGCTGCACCCTGTCAATTTGGGGTTGAAGCTTTTGGTGCCTTGATTGTTCTTTCTCCTTTGACTCTGCAGCCATAAGCATTTCCATGATTTCACGTCCCTGTTCCCGGTCGGCGCCCCTACTAACGTGGAGACCCCACGCCTTCAAAAACGTAGCCTCGCCCCTGTAGTTTTGATGTAGCCATAGTACTTGTTCCGCTGTGAATCTCATCCTACTCTCTTGGCTTCCTGTATCTAAGCTCAACGGATTTACAGGTGTGGTGTCCTCGTTCCTATCCTCATCCATAGCCAGTTGGGGCTTCATAGTCGGTCGCTCTTTTTTCTCGGAGTTTTCTTCAGTTGGCGTCCTCTTTCTAATCATAGGAACTGAGGAAGATGATCTTTCGAATAGCGAGCGTTTTTGGTTACCATTTACACTCGCTGGCGGACTTTCTGTTGGTGGTCGCGTTGGTCGAGAACTCCTTTGCTTTGCCTTATCTGTTTCCCTTTGTTGTTTATTTTTGCATTCTGGTGGTCTAGCCGGTAGCGGTTTCCACTGGGCAGGATCTTGAATGTCAGCCGCAGATTGGGTACGGCGGATAGTGTGAGCTGATGTTTTGGCGAATTCGCCATTGCCGTTTCTTCGAAGGTCTTCCGCAGACGAGGATGCGGGTGGGGCTACGGGAGAGTAAGGGGGGAGGCTGGGGGAACGGAGAGTACCAGCTGATTTTGATGGCGGCAGGGGAAACATGAACTCTAGAGAACTACAAGAGGGCAAATTTTGCCTTGTGGTTCCCATTGGGCTAGAATGTTTCTCAGGTGGAAGCTTCAATGACTCTTGGTTTAATTGTGACCATTCTACCCGCCCACTGCGAGTTAGCGTGTTTACTACTTTCCTGAATGTTGATTAGAAAGAGGTACTGACTGATGTCATTTGTAGATAGTGGCATAAGGCTATCGTTTTTAAGTAGTTGTTCAACTGATGTATGTGTCTTCGCATTCGATATGTCGAGGTTCTTCAACTGAGACTGGGTTAAACGTATGTTTGGCATTTTGCAGCCAATAGAAAGATAGGACGAAAGATGCCGGGTATTACTCAAGATAGTAAAGGAGTATATTTATTGGCCCCTGAAAGAAGTGAACGGGTAGTTGGAAGGGCTCTTTTTCTTTGCTACGTAGACAATATGAAGAAGAACGCTGAGACAATTATTCAATATTCCGATTACCCTGTCATACGATGCTAGGGTAGTAACTTAACACGTATATGAAGACATATATGATTACGGACTGGCCAAAGGCAGATCAATATATATCAAACTACTCTAATAGTATCAACCATCTGACATGTAAGGCCTGTGCGGCATCTATATGTTGCTTCTCAAGTATTGCACAATCTCGGTGTGTTTAAAAGACGTCTGAAATATGATTTACAAGGACTAGGGTGTTACCGACTGGAAGGAAAGGACAAGGTGTGCCCTGTTTCCTTGGGGCCCCCTTTATCCCAAGAGATGTAATTTGAGGCAAATAAACAACTCTGTTTGGATCTTTAATATATTTTATGTTTTCAGTAGTATTTATGTGTTGTTTTCATGTAAGCCCCGATGCATCTTTTGGATCATTCATATACAATACATTTGGTTCTTCAACGAAGTATAGGATAGGGCACTACTATGGAGTAAGTAACTGGAAGAACCTCGTAGTCTACATCTACTTCGTAAGGGAGTTAAAAAAAGGCAGCACGGTTGGTGAACCCGATCTCCTTGAACCAGTACGTGTGACTACGTGGTTTACTATGGTTAGTTACTAAATACTCTCTCGCATAGTAGCAACTAGGTAGGTAGGTATCTAAGCGGTTCCTTTCATCAAACTAGCTAAAGCTCCTAGGCTTCATTCAAATATTCCAAATGAATCTTCTAAGAGGTGCCGCGGGTTTTTGAACTTAAAGCGTAGCGAGATTTTATTAATGATAATGAAAAGTGTTACGATTCACTCGTATTAGTTATAACTAGGGGGTAAATTTTTGAAACTACCTAGATATCATTTCATAAAGGCACACACACTTTACATCAAATAGGCATAGTAACTTCCGTCTACATAAATCCGTTACCCGAACAATTATGAAGTTCGATCGGATAATCTCCGTTGCTGCATAACAGTCTTTGGTCCGAAGTTAACGATCAAGCCTGGACTTACTCGGAGTTTAGGCTCGGAGGTTAGGTAGGTTGGAATCTGCCAATCGGATGCTGCCATTAGTGCCAAAATTTCCAAAACAGGTAAAACGCCGACGTAAGCTTAGGCGGCTCATGTCACCTCTTAGGGAAATAGGGAGTCGTCGGGCAATACGGACATATGCTCTAAACTAAGCGCGAAAGGTTGACCCTGAAAGTACAGTGCCCTTGCGTCTATTCTCATCAGCTTAAATTTAAGACCGATTCTGTACTATGGAAATTGGTAACCGGGTACTTCCTTTTTCTCCGCTGACAAAGAAATAAAAGGGTTCATATATTAAGCCGAACAATAAGATGAAAACGCACTAAACAACTGATCTTATACACGAAGATCTCGTCACTCTTTTAGCTGTATCCTGATAGTGCTCGTCTTCGAATTTGATTAGTTCGCTTGATTTGAATATTCTATCTATATCTCACTGTGTTCCGTCAATCATGGAACCGATAATTTAACCTATTAAGGGATGAATAAAATGCGTAATTGCTTAATACCAAACAAGTTCTTGGCTGCTCGATACTAAAGCATGTAAAAATCAAGAAGTACTACTAAGTTACCTGACTCAACTACCTAAGTACCTGATATCATATAACTACAGGCGATTTTATTCGGCTTCCACGACCAACTTTTTTGATGAGACTCCCTTCTTGAAGATATCTAATGAATCTTGTATGCCGTCAAGGCCCTTCCTTGACACCACCTCTGGTGCTGGGGCAACCTTGTATGCCCCTCCATGTAATGCATCCCTAAAGTATCCGCCGAAAGTGACGAGGCGCGTCTCTGCAAAACGGTCATCGCCCCCGGTTCCAAATGTGAACTTGGCTGTGACACCCTCTGGGACGTCTTCGGGTGCTACGGGGTTGGTAGAAGCGACAAATGGCTTCTGCTTGGACTTATACGCGACTTGACAGGCTTCGGCTACGCTTCCGGCAGCCATGTATATTCCGACGCACACACCCTTATCGAGCTCGGCGGCAACGTCATCGACGATAGTGGGACTGTTACGATCGAAGACTTTGTCGGCTCCGAGGTTTTTCACATAATCGAAGTTGCTAGCGGAGCAAGTAGTGATTACTCGGAAACCCGCACCTTTGGCCAACTGGATACCGTTGCTGCCGCAGGCTGAGCTGCCTCCCCAGACCAAGAGCGACTTATCAGTGGAAGCAGAACTTAGAGTAGGGAAAGGTAAACCAAGATAGTCTTTGCTGAAGAGCGAGAAAGAACAGGTAGTGAGACACAGAGGAAAGACGGCAACTTGGGCGTAAGATAATGAGTCCGGAATCTTTGCAGTGACTCTTTGGTCAAGTATTACATAGTCCTGGAAGCCGTTATTTGCGGTAAAGCCAAAAACGCGATCCCCGACCTTGAAATTAGCCGCGACACTAGAACTAACAGCTTCGACAGTGCCAGAAACATCCTGACCAAGGATGATAGGGTACTTGAACAAAGGAAATGCCCTGTCCTGGATGATGGCGTCGCAAGGATTGATAGCCCAAGCGCGGACTTTGATTAAAAGCTGATGCTCCTCGAGTTTAGAAGGAATCGGGCTTCTGCGGATGACCCCTGGTACGCCGGGTTTGTCCTGCCAGAGGGAGCGGTTTGTAGCGGGCATCTTTGCAACTACGATCGCCTTGCAAAGGTTGAGAGTCGATATTGTAGATGTAAGTAGGAATTGGAGCCAGTGAACTTAAGAGAAGATAGAAATCCGATACTAGGGAAAGATTATAATCTAAGGTGTAATAAATAGGAGTTTTGGGGCTTCTAAGGCTTCGATAGTACGAAGCTGAATATATTTTATACTACGACTTGAAAGACGGTACGTAAAACTTGATATCAAGGAGAGTAGGTGGTAAATAGAGAAGATACGGAGATTGCGGGCGGACTTTAGTGCGTAATTACGCTATACTAATGTGACTTGTCTGCCTGCCTGTCTGTCTGTCTGTCTGTCTACCTAGGTATGTAGGTAGTTACCTACCTGTTACGTATGTAGAGTGTAACGGTGTGTTTTATATCATTTTATATTATTTTGTAGCTATATAGGTACCTATTTGTCTCATGTCAAGCGAAAAACTAGCTCTATTCCGGCATTCTAATCGTTCCTCACGTTATTGTTGTGTTAAGGCTTTAAAAGTGTACTCTACAACCCTAGTCAGTTTGCACGTCCAGTGGGCGTTAACAAATTCATCATCATTTCGAGTGTTATAAGTGATTCCAGTGTAATTATCCCTCTTTACGTAGCTCAGAATAACCATAACTCATCAAACCTGCCGCAAGAAATAATATCATTACTGGGTGGTCATATAGAGGAGAGAGTATGCTGCGAGAATATTCTAGTTTAGGGCCCGATACCCTATGTCGTTATCGACTAATATTCTTGTAAAGTGGCGGGGGCAGGGCTGCTGTACCTGTTTTAGCGATGTGGCTAAGAGGATACATACCTCTAATACTTCATGGGAGGGTTCTGTAGACTTTCGCATTGATAGGTATCCAATAGCTTTGTGCCGTTTTGAATTAGATGTTGTCTGGGGGTTGATTAAGATACCTAATATCCTCGGATGAAAGGGGGTGGCTAGTTCTGTGGCATATGCTTGTGGCACTTTAAACTTAATTACGTACCTCTTTACCTTAGGTACGTATAGGCACTCGGGAATATTTATTACCGTTGATCTTCTTTATAGGTACTTAACACTTTACTTTTATACCACCATGGACTTTTACTATCGCTCGTGATATTAAGAACGTACATAGGTCGATCCTTCATCTAAGCAGTTGTCGCGTACCTTAGGTACCTACCTACGTATCTAGGTAGGTGCGGATAAATAAATTAAAATGACTCGACCTTACACAATCTTAAAGCTTAAAGCAGTTGCGTAATGATTGTAAAGAAGTTACGTTCTAACATGGTTGCGAGGAAGGAGGAAGAAATCACTCAAGGTAGTTTCATAGGTACCTCTTAATACAAGGGAAGGTGTTGTTAAATAGAAGTTACTGTCGTTATTTAGGTTGTTGTAGTTGGTAACAGTTTCTAGAGTAATATTAAAGGTATTGATACATATATTGTTGTTCTTTCCTTAGACACGATCACAGCACCAATATTGTCGTGCCTTCCTCATGTATGATCACATTAGCAAACATGCTCAATGGGCAATATACTTACACACCGCCCTCTACCTCTTTTTCTAACACTATATAAATATGGCCCCTCCCACCGGGTTTCAAAAAAAATCTAATAACAACACTTCATCATCAAACTAAATTTTCAATACCAACATAATCTTCGATACAATACTACCTACCCAACTACCTATGCATATGTATACCTACCGCATCACTACTATGCATCAATACCTATTACTTTACATCATTACTACTATACATGATAACACCTTGTACATAACACATCATAACATCACAACTAATCTAATACCCCCTAAGGTAAGTGGATACGATTATCTGGCATCTGATTGAATGATTTACCTCATCTTGTCAATTTATTGATTTATTGGAGCTTGAAGCTGACGTATGATTTCTATAGGACCCACAACCTTCCGCGGTCGTACTTGATCGCATTGATTATCTAGTCCATATGGCATTACATTCACCTCTCTACCAAATCCTTAACCGACCAACATCCGTCTCATAGAAATTCCCGACAATACTTCAACAATTAGTTGAGGCCTTGGTAAAATTTCTCTCAAAGGTTCTATTTCGTAAGTTTAGTATCACTTCATAGCATTGAACACCCCCGGTGTTAAGTTAGATTAATATGCTAACCTACGCATCTATTACGTTACAGTATTCTAAGATCCCTGCCCGTAGGGCTTTTACAAACCGTCATATTGTTCTTTGACTTACTCTACTCTGTCAGGATTCTAGACGAGACATCTAGAGCAAAGGGGATGATCTACAAGAATCTCGAAGACGAACGCCGCGTCTTAAAGACGGTTTTCTGTAGCTACTGCCTCGATTGGGGCCACGAAAGTAGGCATTGCGCCGAAAGGGCAAAGTGTACCAGATGCTATGAGATTGGTCACGCCACGTCGTCGTGTCCCGCGATCAAGTGACTGAACTGCGGCGAGCTGAGACACCTCCTTATAGACTGTGACGATTCTCAACTAGTTCAGGCTTGTTGCCGCTGCGGAGGCAGCTATCTTCAGGTAAACTGCACCGAGAGCCCGGAAGTCTACTGCACCGACTGCAATAGCTTAGGACACTTCCCCGGAAGGGACCTTTGCCAAACCGCCCGGCAACTTTCACAGCAGCAGTAAGACGTGTTGTGGGGTAGTTCTACGGAGAAGGATGATGAGTGGGCTTTGGGGGAACGGTAGGAATGATGTACGCAAAATTCGGAGATGAGCGTTCACAGATTCCTAGGTACCTTAGGTACCTCGGAAGCCCTACTAGCCCTTGGATTGGTTTGGGTGATGCAACCACCAGAGAACCAACGAATACCACCCTTTTGGCAGAAAGTACTCGAGTTGGCCAAGACACCCAAAACACCCCAACACCACCAACATGGTGGAAAGACAGTACCTGAAACTATCGCTGATGAAGATGTAGAAGAAGAAGAAGAAGAAGAAGAGAACCACGAAAACGATCGTGAAGAAACGCCCCCTAGCGCATACGAACACGAATCCGAACCCGAGCGAATTGTCATCGAGGAAAGTGATGACAGCAATACCGAAGATCTCCAAACCGAGATAGACGCGATGAAGGAGTCCATAAACAACACTCTCGAAGAAATACTCGCCAACCAAAAACTCATCATCAAGCGCCAACAACAGCAAGGAGACAAACTCGCGAAGATCGAAGAAGCTCTACAAACCCACTACAAAATAAAATCCGAGGTTATATCACAATAAACAAGGACGAAGAGGAGGACGACAAAACCATAGAATACGTTCCACCGAAGACTTGGGCAGGTCAAACAGCATCACCAACACCGACACCAAAAAGAAAAGTAAAAATACATATTCGAACCCCTAAAAGAGCGTAGATCTCTGACGATGACATGGCTTAGGTCTTAGACAATGACATGAGTAAAGTGATGTGGACATCACCATCTTTTTGCGAAAGGGGGCGTTGATGAGATCCTACGATAATGATTAGTCAGTTATTAGTCATCTACTGATAAGGAATTAACTTAACCTAGCTTAGTTACATCTCTTAATAGATAGTTACCTAGGTAAAGAAGACTTGATCTTCTTTCTTAATACAACTTCAAGTTTCCACTCACCATAACTCCTAGCATTAGGTACATGTTTGCCAATCTTTAATGCACCTTACCCTACGTTAAACGAACTTCTCGTCTAGCTAAGAAATAGTGTGGAAATTGACGATGTTTATACTTGCTCACCCTTGTGCTATGTTAGAAATTGACAATTACTCTTATAACCCCTTTGTCTAATGCTTACTAAAGCTCCTATATTTTTAATCGTGACGATGCTACCTAGTCAAGCACTAATACATATATGCATAGGAGGTAGGTACCTACTGAATTTTCCCTAGACGTCAAGGTGACACTTTGAATCCCGAAATAAGTACCTTGCAGGAGAGATTCAACAATATCTAGGTCCTTGGATGCGCATCCTCCTATTAGCCAATATTATAGCGTCTGCTACACTTCGCCCTTTCGGCGCAATGCTTATTTTCGTGGCCCCAATCGAGGCAGTAGCCACAGAAAAGTGTTTCTAGGACACAGCGTTCGTTTTCAACGTGCTTGTAGATCATATACAGATGCTTGGTCAACGAATTCTTGGCCTTTTTTTCTTGACTCGCGAAACTCGACCTGTTCATCAGTATGATCTCTCCTTGAATACTGCGTGTATGCGCAGTCGCGCCGAGGCGTGCGTTTCCGGTAAAGCCCGGGCCTTCGGTACGTGTGTAGTCGACGATGACGAGGTCTGCTTCCTCGCCGTGGAAGCTATCTACTGTGCCGACGCGGACCCTCTTGGCTATCGTCTCAGCAGTGGTGCGAAGGCGAGACGCTAGCACTTCTCGACGACGGAGAACAAGCTGTATCTCCTCGGCCTGCGCCTTGTAGTAAGACATAACGGCGATGGTGCCGGGACGCTTGCCGTCTACCGATGTAAAGGCAGGATAATTGATAAAGAATTCGAGAATTTTGAGTACACAGTGGATATGATATTCGTTCCTGAATGACGTGCCTACACTCTTCTCGTGAGAGTTGGTAACGTCGACGATGACACGGGCGCTTCTGCGGAGGCCGGTCAACTCGCTGATCATGCTACGGACGACCTGGACAGATGGTGGATAGCGATCCTTGACGCCGGACTTCATCAAATCGTTGTAAAACCAGGCACTTGGACTCTCCTGCAAGTCTCCGTGTTGTCGGTGATTATATAACAACCAGGGGAGAGCGGCGCCGCCGCGCTTGATCCTGCCCAAGCACGATAGGCCGGTTTGATTGTCGAAAGCTTCGGGCGCGTCCCTACGGTAGTTAGTTACCGGGACATGCTGCCAGGGGTCGCCGAGTAACATGAAAAGTTTCGCCGATGGGAACGAGGAGATGGCCATGATTGTCGTCAGCTCTCTCATGCCCGCATTCTCGCCTACGATGACTAGGGTCGGATGAAATTCCCGTCTGAAAAGGATACTGCGGGCAGTGGAGGGAGTAGCGAGGACGATATCGGCTTCCCGCAGTTTGGTCTTGTAGATATAATCGACTGAGTTTATACCCTCGCTAACATGCCCGTCCGAGGGACTGAACGAACTGTATTCCTCTGAGCAATTCTGGACGTGTAGCAAAGTAGAATTAAAACCCTTGGAGGCTGCTCTCTTCGCGTCCTGCTCCGCAAGCTGATGGAATTCGTCTAAGACTGGCTTGGTGAGATGCTTGTCTATGGTATCGAGCTTGTTCGGCATCTGGCTGGAAGCTGGTTGACTCAGGGTGTCAACCGCCACTCTAATATCCGTAGATGTTGTATAGACTCTTTCTATACGGGGGAATGTGTGGGAAGGTGCTCTGTATTCCTCGAGCGAGCGCTTGAAGCTTAGTTCATACTTGTCGAGAATCTGGTGCTGCTCTGCTAGGATTAAGACTTTGTTGCGAGAACCAGGGGGAGATTGCTCTGCTAGGTGCATCAGGGCGTAAAACTTGACGAAAGTCGATCTGCCAGATGCGGCTACCCCTGGAATTACTGCTAGCCCACAGGGAAGACGCTTCATATGTTCGCTAAATATTTCCTTCTTAGATTCGTCAAAGTCATCGTACATCGATTGTAAGTGGACTGGCGCCGTACCGTCCAGAGCACGCAGCATCCCCGGAAATATGTCGAAGTGGTTGACCAGGGAGTCAGGTTTAGGACTTTCCAAGCCGGGTAACCATCTGTAGATGTCTAGTGCCAATGGGCTAGGTACTGGATTCCCGCGTCGTGTGGAAGCGGGATGTTGGATCTCCTCGTGAGCTTCCATTTCCTGCTCAAACGTCTTCGGGACGAACTTAGGTGTAATAGTACAGGTTCTGGCGTTATCTTTCGTCAGCATCCGTTGGATGTAGTCGCCGTAGTTCTCTCCCTCTGCTGCGCGCTGGAGGTTAAAGTTGGCCCTCCTCTCAAGTCCACCGCATGATTCGTACTACGGCTCGAGCGGGATCTTTGCGAGGAAGACTCTGAATGTACTACCGAAGAGATGGAAGAGGGTATCGGTTGCTTGGGCATTCCACGTTGCAAGCTTGCGTTCTATAGTCTTGTCCTTGACTTGGGGCATACGAAGATAGTTCTTGTGCTTCGCGACGAATTCTCTTAGATCCAGGATGTTCACTATACGCTCAGACATAGAGAATCCTGAATAAAGCTCTTCTAGATCGGTTCGTATAGCCTTGGTCTTCTCAGCACCTATCCATCCCGCATCGTTGATCACGTTGCAATAATTGACAAAGTCTTCGGGATTCATTGCCAACGGCTCTTCGGGATCTTCGTGCGCAATTTTGTCTAGTACTTCGGGTAGTTCTTTGGCGATATCGACGTCATATGGTAGGTTCTTGGTGCGCTTGGCTCCTAGGACCTGAATTTCGCATTCCGTAGCTGAGCTTTGGAGGCGAGTAAAGCCAGGACTTACGCGGACGACGACTGCAACGGTTGAAGGGTTGCCTAAGTCATTGAGGCTCTCCGGCGGGACAAGTATGTGACATTGAAACTCTTGTCCTGTCTCATCGCTAAGAATTTGAGCACGAGTTGCATTGTCGATGGTACCGTAGGCCTGGGTGATCTTGAACTGCCGGTCGTCGAAGAATTTGGTAATGGATCCTATAGCTGGAATATGAGGTCTTACGACATTTCGGGTGCCTTCGGGGGCATATTCTTCATCTAGGATATTCCGGATATTGATAAACTCCTTTTCAGGAGAGCGGGCAAACCAGCGAGCGAGCGGATCTGATACTATGCCCGAAACTAGGGAGATAGCTTTGAAGACATTGAGGTTTCTTGACCCTGTCGCGAAGCAACTGCTTGGCTGAATTGTGACGATATCTTGTAGACGGTCAGGAAATTGCTCTGTGGCAGCACCTCGGTCTTCGCCAACCAAGAATGTAATCTCACGAGGAGTGTCGGCACTGACCGAATCAGCAAATTCTTGAAGCTGTCGGATTTGTTCTTTCTCTGTCTCGCCTACTAGCCGAGCCTCTTCGTAATACAAGAGTGCTCTAGATAATCGAAATGATAGGCGAAGTGAGCCCGATGACGCCTGGATAGGACTTTCGTAAAGGCTAAAGGGGTTGAAACTCTGATTCAAATAGGACGTCGTGGCATCCTGTGATAGTCTTGTGCAAGACACATGCGAAATGGATTGGAAGTAAAAATCCATCGCAGCAACCCAGATATTTTTCATACCATTCTTTTCGGGTTTATAATTGCGATACATAGTCAGTTTGATTAAGTGATATGTATAGGGATGAGCAATGAGCTTGAGTTTGAACTCAAGTTGGTTAGTCGCAAGTCTACCGAACTTTAGGAGATTGTCATCCATGTCTCGGCTCAAAGGGGCGGCCTCGAGAATAACGAGACAGGAAAGGAGACTACAGGGCATCGACTGTTCAAGGTCCGTTCTGTCGTTACGGGCCTTGGATACCATTGTTAGCAACATCCTACCTACAAAATCTTGGAACAAAGGGATACTTACACGATCCGGGTCATTATGACCGGTAGAGCTTGGGTGTCGAGAGATATCCATGTTGCTTAGACGAGGGTTGAGTAGAGACCTCCCTGAATACGATTAGCCTTCTGCAAGAGAAACAATACTGATATTCACGAGTCCTCAGGATATCTATGGATATTTGCGGGAGGATAGTGCGAAGAATATGTTGGAGTAGACGTCTGAGATGACGAAGACTTACCTCAAGTTCAGCTTAACCAAGTGTGGATGTGCTTGATACCTTAGCCTATAATAAAAAAGAAAGTTAACGAGTGTGATTTTTTGTTGATGAGTGATGCGTGTTTAGTTACCTCTAGGTACCCAACTTAGGCACGCTTTCGAACAATGTCGTTGGGAAAGTCAGTGAAAACGTTGAGAGGTATTTGTTGTGTGGTAAATAAGTCGGTGAGAGGTTCTTTGTAAATGTAAACCAATACAAGGGGATGGACAACCTGAAGAGGCCCGTAAAAGTCTTTTAAGATGTCCCCTTAGGTGCCTTGCTATGTATTGAAAGAATAAAATTAACCCTAGCCCTAACCAGATCGTGCCAGCGGCGATCTAACCTTGTGACCAGGAGAGTGTTAGATAAGTAGTTTCGTAGGCAAGACAGTTGGGAAGTTGGGCTCTGATATTTTTGCGGCTGCGCTCTCATTTTAGGGGTGCCATTTACGCTGCTGTTACGGACGTGTCATCTATATAAATCTAGTCCACCACCAAGATAATACCCTTCCGTTGAGCTCTCGTCTCCGTCTCTGGGCTTTGTATCGACTTTAGCGAAGTAAGGTTTTCAGACCTTGCTGTATTCTATATTCTCGCAATAAACTCTAAGGCTAGATTGTGAAACTCGGTAACTCTACATAGGCACCAATACTCTTCTTTCTAGACGTCTCGTATACCTAAACTCTTGGACAGTTCGATTGCTGCAGTTCTTGTAATAATGTAGTCCGTCAAGGGTTACACACCGGGCCACCCGCCACTCCAGTATACTGACCACGACTATCACATCCACGATTCATCGATATCCTCATCAAGTCAAGGATTATACTAGCTTTTCTCGTAAGGGTGGGTTTCTAAAGCCTCCTCTTTCCCTTAGTAGCAGCTCTCTCGCAGGCCAATGCCATAATATCCCTTGACTTGCTGCAAGCAATTTCGGCGAAGAAAACGGTGGACCTCATATTCACGCTCACGCAGCACGTAGATGCCCTCAGCGGTTATTGGAAGGTCATAGCCGGAACCGCACATTTCGAAGAAGGGATAAACTTGAGCGTAGCATGCGATGAAAATAGGAATTACTTGAGTAATTTAAAGAATGAAAACAGAATAAATTTAGTTAATACGACAACGACGGTGTGTAGAGGAATATGTGTTGACTGAATCAAAAGCCAAATGTTTTTCATTACTGCCCTGTTTAGTTAATTGATGGAACTAGATTTCGATTAGTACTGCTTGGCTGTGATCGTGTTTTGTTATTTTTTATTTCATATTGTAGTCTATACTCTTTATATCAGTAACCCCTATTATCTCTTTTGGATGGACAAGCCAATACATCATTCATTATATGCTATATCACTAGGCGCAAGAGAAACTTATAAAAGGATTCGGATGGTCTAAGCCATCATGATAAGCACCCCCTTTTAAGGATTCATAGGTTGTTTTTCATCGATATCACCCTCTCCTACGTGTTCGTTATTTTCATCCCGCCTATCAGGCTGTTTGGCTGCGGATGGACTGTACAGTACGGTGTGTGTGTGTATTGAAATAATTATATTCACTGGCTTCACAAGTCCCCATTTCCAAGAGGTAAATGTATTAAGGATTATAGATCCATTTAAGGTCCGTTTTACAGCTATGTAGGTAGGTACCTAAGGTCGTTGAAAAACATCGTTGGGCTAGCATTATGATATAGCTTATACGGCAGGAGAGGAATTAACCTAAAGTATTTACTCCAGTAATTGTCGTGTTCTTACACTTTTCTCTTAATCTCGATCAAAGACCGAGAACGTAAGAATACTGACACTCGTTAAGACCTGTTGCTATAAATACCAACCTATCCATTTAGCTGCGGCTGACGTATTATTTCCTTTAGAGTAAAAAGAAGATTGGTTCGTAGTAGCCGGGGATTCCCCGCCTCAGGTGTTCCTGGCTTGAACTGATGCACCCTATTAATCCTATCTACCTTAGCAGGCAACAGGCAGCAGGCTGATGCCTTGATATCTTGTCCAAGATAAAACCCTATCCAGAAGCGTATAGTTTCATTGAATTTGTTTCAAATAGCTTCTCGAAATATTGAATCAATCATGGTACGAGGAGTCAGCCAGTTTCTGAAAACCTACCGGAAGAGGACGCTAGACGAAACGCCACCGCCAGCGTCCGTGCCAATTGATCCTGCGCGCCGCAAGATGGAGCAGAGGGTGCCGCTCGCTTGTGAGATTCTCGACCATCCGGACTCGATTGACTCTCAGTTGCAATCCCCTCTCTTTAGAAAGCTCCCCAGAGAGCTGCGCGACCTGATTTGGCGCTTCTCTCTAACGCGGTACGAAGATCTCGATTGTCTCTACGATATCCGGAAGCCCTATGCTAGGCCCGGGCAAGCTGCCCCGCTACGGGTAGCTGTTCAGTTGCTTCTAACGTGCCGGGCCGTATACGTCGAAGCCTTTCTTACGCCCTTTCAAGTCAACCCCATAATGGTATTCCACGGCGACGACAACGATGTTCCTCCGGGTACCCCGCTCATGCGCACGACGGAAAATCAATTTCTATGCAGGAAGCTAAGATTCTGGCAATTTGCGAATATATCATCCGTTGAGACGACACTGCAGCAGATAAACTTGGAAGGTGGTGAGTTTAGTCCTGAATACCTCGGCATTGTCCGTTGAAGGATGCGTATTCTAATTCAGCTGCTGACGCGAATATCAGGTGGACTCGAGCGAGTGTCTCGTCTGGTCGGAACGATAGGTCGGCACCACGGGTATGAGAGTAGAGGCTACGCAGTTACAGGTTACGCATGTTTTGTGTCGCCTACTGAGCCTAACAGAAGCACTAGCGAGGCCGACTCGAAGGAAGAATATAGTAGCCAACTGTCATCTCTACCGAACCCACTTGTCGGTAGAAAAATTACTCGTTTATCTATCCGCATGTCTCGCACCGACTGGTGGGGTTGGGAGAGTATGCCCGGGGGGGATGAAGTATCTCCTTCGGAGAGACTCCGTCTAGAACCTATGATTAATGTCACAAACCTCTGGAAGAGACCTGCCAACTACTTAGCCATGATGAGAGGGTATGAAGCGCGGAAAGCAGGTAACGAGCCTGACTTCCAACTGGACGATTTTGAAAAGCAGGGCCGCTGGGGCTCTCAGATAAGAGAGTATTGGCCAGACCTCACAACGCTCGAGCTTGTTCTGGAGACGTTTTCATGCAAGAAGGATCAGCTAGATCAAGTCGTGCAGTGTGCTAAATTGTGGACGTTCCCGCTAGAAGACGGATTCCACCTTGTGTGGGATGGTAAAGAAGAACTAATCCGATGGCGTGGTGCTCAGTCTTACAAGTATGAGCATCAAGACTGGTTTGAGGTTTATAACGTACCTCGAGGTACCGAAGCGCAGAGTTCAACAGCGATTCGATGGAGGCCTTCTCAAGGCAATGGCGGGGGTGATACCAATAGCCAGGAATTCATTATCCAGACATTGACTTTTGAACGGAAAAGAGCTGGGGACTATATCAACGCGGACAGATCTTAAACGTCGCGTGAGAGTAGAGGAATTTGGGTCGAGCTCAGGGGCCGAGGTAAAACTTGTATCTAATTTTGATATATAATTTTGATTTCTAGACTTTAGTGTCCAAGATCTAGCAGATATAACATCAGATATAATATGTCATTTATTACGATACCAATACTTAGGCAGTTCGACACAGATCTAACCCTACTAAGTGTGCTTCCTATAGTGCCTAATCAGTTAAACCAGGTGTCTACCTAGGTAGGTATGAAGTGATTTCTCCGATTACCTAACCACAACTCGTAATTATTACCTCAAGTGATCCACATACTATTATATACACCTAGGTCGTTGATACCGGGGTACACGTGACTGATTGCATATAATACGTAGGTAGGTAACACAATTTATATTATTTCTATTCCAAGATGTCGCTTATTAAAATACGTAAGCAAGTCTGAATTCTGAATACCAAACCAAGTATGAGGCTGTGAAGAAGCGTATGCGAGAATCTCGTTAGCTATGACCTCACGAAGCAACACGGCAATAACACAAAATTCAATAACACAAAATCCAAAGCCTGCTCTGGCTATACTACATAGGTACATACCTAGGTAGTATGTACCTATGTATGTAAGCCAGGGGCTTATTCCACCGAGGATAACCTTGGCTACCCCGCATAATTACCTAAAAGACTGGGGCATTCCCCGCACGCAACCTCGAGCTTCCCCAAAAGAGACACCGTCACCCGGCTGGGGAAGTAGTTTTCCATTCGTATCCGAAGAAATCAGAAGCGGGCTGCATGCTACCTAAGAAAAGGGCCGAATTGACTGCTGTTGATGCTGTTAATAGAGGAGACATTTTGGATTGAGAGGTTGGTAGGTATTGGAGTATTGCGGGTGGATGAACATAGAATTGGATATTTGTTGTTATAAGAGCTGTTTGTTGTGGAGGTGTTTTCAACTATTTGCTATAGGTACCTATCTAAAGAGTTAAAGAAAGCAGTATAGCTAAGGTACCTAGGTAGAGAGAGAGATAGGTGTTTTGTTTATGTTAACACAACGGCAGAACGGATGGTATGTGGAGCAGCGTTACAAGGAAAGTCCCGGCACCTTGGCACCCTAGCACCCTAAATTACAGTGCAATTTTAGGTACCTACATAAGTGTACCCAGGTAATATATACCTCCTATGTACCTATGAATGTATATAGCTCAAGAATAGGAGGCACATACGACTTCATTTCATAGTGCTTGTCAATATACGTGCATAGTCTATATAATAGTACATCTTTTATACAAGACTATCCGTACGCGTTTATCCTGTATTATAATTTATAATAAATGCTATAAGAGACATTAATTATGTCAATAACCCGACTTCCCCTGAAGATCTTCCCTCGACGCTTTATACATACATATGTAAAGATGTACCTTATGTCTTTAATTAGTCAATGCGTCATAATCCTTCGGGACGACAGTTGTAGGGATTTCCCAGTGATCTTCCTTGTCTTTAACTGCCCATTAATGCTTTGTTAAGATGTACTACTACCCGTTCTTGGGAAGTCTCGCCGATTGTTATGACGCGTGTTTCTTAGCTACGTAGCGTTTATTATGATAACGCCGCCTCTTCTTGTCTAATGTACGCCAGTAGTAACTCGATTCGTCCCGTCTAGTTTAGCTTCCCATCTCGAATCGGATCATTAGCTGGCCCTCCCTGCCTCCCAAGCTCCAAGCGGAGAACCCTGGTCTTCGTGGGTCCGCCGTAACCTTGCAGCGTGGAGAGTTATGCCGACTACAAGGAATATCGAGAGTCCAATCTCTCTCCTCCTTGATCAGTCGCATGCAAATTGCTGATCACTTGATCCGCGGCTGTACAGGGGTAGCAACAACTTTCAAAATTATTAATAGGGAGACCTGTGCTCGATTTTTATTATTATCCTTTGGTGGTGTATCCCTCTCCGACCTTGCCTTGTCTTCTCATCGGATAGAACGAACTTCATACGAACGTTACTACCGTATGATAGTCACGATGCGTTGTACTTCGTGGGTTGCCTTATTGGCGGTGACCAGGTATACAGCAGCAAATGCGGTTAGTCATCCCATCCATACATCCTCCTGTATTTCCCTCAGGCGTCTTCTTCCATAGTACCGAGAAGACTGTCCTGGAGTTTATCGGAGTTTTACCCCATCAATTTAGCATCGAGATCTAGATTCTTTCGCGTCAGTCGTATCGCATACGAAGCAGCTTGAATTCAAAATCTTATGTTCTCTGATGTCGTGATCTGATCACAGTTAAGCCAAGGCTTTTTTCACCATGCAGCTCCACAGATCTTTGGCGCAAATATTGCCGATTTTGCAATTCGTAATATCTGACTATTCTCAGGTCGAAAAGCGAGATCTCGCCTCCTCCGAGCCGCACTATCCTTCGCCTTGGATGAACCCTACTGCGCAAGGATGGGAAGATGCTTATGCCAAAGCTAGGGAATTTGTCTCCCAGCTTACGCTAGCAGAGAAGGTCAATTTAACAACCGGTGTCGGGTAAGTATTTGCATTCTGAGTATTCACAAAGCCGTATCGGCTGACAAAATCTAGTTGGCAAGGGGAGCAATGTGTCGGCCAAGTTGGTTCTATTCCTAGACTAGGCTTTCGTAGTCTTTGTATGCAAGACTCTCCCTTGGGCGTTCGTCTTGCGGACTATGTCTCAGCCTTCACGTCTGGTCAAACTGTGGCGGCTTCGTTTGACAGAGACCTTATCTACCGACGAGGCAAGGCAATGGGCGAAGAGAATAAAATCAAAGGCGTCGACGTACTTCTAGGGCCAGTGGCTGGACCTATCGGGCGAACGCCGGAGGGCGGACGTAACTGGGAAGGATTTTCCCCCGATCCATATCTGACCGGCGTCTCAATAGCCGAGACCGTCAAGGGAATTCAAGATGCCGGCGTGATTGCTTGCGCTAAGCACTATATCGGTAACGAGCAAGGTTAGAAGGATTAGATGGCTCTTTTTGAATTGTAGTTGCTAATACAGAGTGCAGAGCATTTTAGACAAACCGGGGAGTCTCAGCAACGTGGATACAACATTTCCGAAAGTCTATCATCAAACATCGACGACAAGACAATGCATGAATTGTATTTATGGCCATTCGCGGACGCGGTCCGGGCCGGCGTCGGTTCTATTATGTGCGCGTACACGCAAATCAATAATTCATATTCTTGTCAAAAGTAGGTGCCAAGCAGTTGGTCGCGATTTTGTTTCCGTGCTAACGCGTTTTTCCATAGCTCCAAGGCCTTAAATGGCCTCCTCAAGAGTGAATTGGGATTCCAAGGATTTGTCATGTCAGACTGGCAGGCGCAGCACACTGGCGTGGCCAGCGCCGTAGCCGGGCTTGACATGACAATGCCCGGAGACACCATCTTCAACTCCGGATTTAGTTTCTGGGGCACGAATCTTACTCTTGCGGTGCTAAATGGAACATTACCTCAGTACCGAATTGACGACATGGCGATGAGGATTATGGCGGCTTACTTCAAGGTCGGTAGGACGTTAGACCAGATCCCAATCAACTTTGATTCGTGGACTCGGGATACCTTCGGGCCTATCCATTTCGCCGCCAACGAGGGTCATCAGCAAATCAACTGGCACGTAGACGCCCAGGAAGATCATGGAGATCTTATCCGGGAGATAGCTGCCAAGTCAACCGTACTGCTCAAGAACAACGGTGCTCTCCCGCTAAAGAAGCCCAAGTTTCTCGCCGTCATCGGGGAGGATGCCGGTCCTAACCCGTTGGGTCCGAACGGCTGCTCTGATCGAGGCTGTAATAAAGGAACTCTCGCAATGGGATGGGGTTCGGGATCCGCCGACTTTCCTTACCTCATCACTCCTATCGACGCGTTGCAGGCACAAGCTCTCGAAGACCATACCCGCATCGAAGCTATTTTGGATAATTCCGCGTCGACAACGATCGAAACTTTAGTCAAGCAAGAAGGGGCTACCGCCCTAGTATTTGTCAATGCTGATTCCGGCGAAGGTTATATTAGTGTTGATGGCAATGAGGGGGACCGAAGCAACTTAACGCTTTGGGGCAACGGCGATGAGCTCATTAAAAATGTTTCCTCCTTGTGCAATAATACTGTGGTTATTATACATTCGGTTGGACCTACGCTTGTATCGGACTGGTACGATTCACCCAATGTTACTGCTATCTTATGGGCTGGTTTACCCGGTCAAGAAAGCGGTCGCTCAATTGTGGACGTGCTATATGGGAGAGTCAATCCTGCTGCCCGAACCCCCTTCACGTGGGCTAAGAGTCGAGAAGACTATGGTGCTGAAGTCCTATATGAGCCTAACAACGGCAACGACGCACCGCAGCAAGACTATACCGAGGGTATATTTATCGACTATCGGGCCTTAGATCGTGCTAAGATTGATCCTATCTTCGAGTTCGGATTTGGATTGTCGTACACGACGTTCGAGTACTCGGATATCCAAGTCGAGAAGGCCAACGTCGAGGAGTATAAACCCACAACAGGCAAAAGTGCTGAAGCCCCAACCTTCGGCAACTACTCAACAGAGCTTGAAGACTACGTCTTCCCAGAATCCTCCTTCCCTTATATATGGCAGTACATTTATCCGTACGTGAACACGACGTCATCGCTCAAGGATGCATCCATGGATCCCGATTTCGGCAAGACTGCAGAAGAGTTCCTTCCTCCAGGAGCTATAGAATCTGCAGCACAAAGCCTCGACCCTGCCGGACCAGGCCTTACGGATCAGTCAGGTGGTAACAGCGGATTATTCGACACTCTGTATACGGTAACCGCTAAAATTACCAATACTGGCAGCGTGGTGGGCGACGAGATCCCGCAGCTCTACGTTTCCCTTGGCGGAGAGGATGATGCGCCAGTAGTCCTCCGCGGCTTTGATCGGATTCAAATCGAACCGGGCTGCACCGAGGTTTTTACGGCAACCTTAACGCGACGTGATGTTAGCAACTGGGATGTCGAATCTCAGAACTGGGTCATTACCAGCTCCGCCAAGACCGTATTCGTCGGTCCCAGCAGTCGCAAGTTGCCCTTAAGCGCTCCGCTATCATAGGACATAGTGACACATGAAATATAAATTCTGGTCAGGGGATGTCAACAGAGGGTTGAATACCTGGGTACCTAACCTAGTTAACATAATTAATAGTTAGCCAGATGCAAATATTCTTGTATATAATCTATAATATTAATTATTGGACTAGTTATTAGTTATAGATTACGACCCTCGATAAATCGGTGTAATACGTGAGTTTACGAGATTAATGTATTGAAATGTACCTAAGAAAAGATTCCCCTAGGTAACCAAGGTAGACTTGACATATAATGAACTGAAATTGGGTAGGTAGGTACCTAGGTAGGTAGTTAGGTGGGAGATGAATACTAGGTACCTATGATTGACGAAGGTGCCGACAAACAATGAATTGCACTGTGAAGCCGAATTTAAACATAAGGTTTCCGGTCCGCTAGCTTGGACCCACACCTGCAACCTACGGGCATGTACATATTATAACGCCACACCTTCAATTCAATACATAGGTAGGTTATCTAAGTACCAAGTACCTATGTAACGCATATAATTCCAGTCTTATACAGCAATACCTCTTCTTCTCATGCCGCCGAGCAGAACGACATCACATATATGGCCGAATATCTTTAATAAAAGATAATCTACCAGCCAGGGAGACCGGTGAGCCCTAAGAAAGAAGATCAGCATCTGTCTTATATGAAAATAGGAAGACCTAGACCACTTACAGTCGTCACCAATATCTTCCTTGACACTTTGTGACTTGACGCAGTCTATGGCAGCCTGGTCCGTTTGCCTCTGGAGCGGCGAGCAGCGGTCGCCGGAGCACTTTCCATCCATAGCCCTCTGGAGCGCATCACCTTTCCAGCCGAACAGATAATCGCCGTGCAGGCCGTATCCCGTGGTGTCGTTCATGCTCCACACAAAAGGCTGAGAACCATCTGCAGGCCACTCGGCCTTGTTGTTGAAAGCACGCGTGTCGAACATGATCTCATACATGATCTGCGGGATCTTGACCGGGTGAGTTGAGGGACAAGCACCGCCGCTCTCAAACGTCCCCGAAGCAGGGTATGCTATATGGGACTTGTGGTCAGGCGAATCTAGGTTCTTGCCGTCCCAGCATGATGGGAAATGCACAGATACTCGCCATCCTCCGCCGCATGGCTCCTTGGGGAACGCTTGCGTGTCTGAACCTGTGCAAGGGGCGCTATAATAAGTCAGCAAGCGCCTTCGTTTCGGTTCATTCAGCTTACCCCCCAAATGGATTTTGCTCAAGGTTAGCTTCACACCGGTAGCAGAGGCCCTTCTGCATTGTGCTAGCTTGTCTGTTCATCGGGTCGCCGACCAGCATCCGGAAGCCCTGACCAAAATAAGCGAAAACTTTTCAGAACTTTCAGAACCCACTTACCGGCGGGAATGCAGTCACTTTAGCACTCGGCTGATAACCACGAATGTAATAGATAGTCATGCCGGCCTTAACATTAAGTCCTAGGTTAGCAAACTGCGGTACTCTCTTATAGGTGCCGTTGCGAGCCCGGAAATAGAGGTTGGCGGTCCAATAGTTGGAAAAGTCTTCGGAATAGGTACAACTAGTACAAGTGGAGACCTTAGGCGGATCATGATCGACAGGTTTCATGGAAGCGTTAAGAGAATTTCCGCCGATGATTTGGTGCATGTGTGCCGAGGGCATATTACCCGGCTCTACCAGCGGATCGATCCTGTCGATAGTAAGCTGGGAGCATCCGAAGCGCATAAGCTCCTGCGCAGCAGCCATGTGGACGGCTGCCGCGGCGGGCAGAAGAGATTTAAGCAGCATTTTGGCTTAGAATACGAAAATTTACTTAGAGAAAGCAGAAAGATCAAGACAGCCAGTCGGTGGGAGCGAGCAGGCCTTCATGCTTTTATTCTTCGCCGAGACGGCGTAATTCGTGGTTCTCCGGGTAAAGCCAAGGCGGACGGAGTGGTAGGGCTCCGTAGTTGTTAGTTGGGCAGTTATGGCAATGCAAATGCCGCTCGACGAAGCCTTGCCGGTTAATATAACCCCAGAGTCTAAGGGTCAGGGCCTGGCAGCAAATCTGATGGCAAGCTCAAATTACCTGTGGCAGACACATTTCCTATTCCGACATATTAAGCGGGGGCAAAGGACTCGGTAGTGTTCCAGTGGCTGAATCAAGCCTTCGTCTAAGCAGTCCAACGTCATTGAACTTCAGGCCAGCATAGCGCGAAGACCCCTTCTAGATAGGATGGGGCAAGCTTCCTTAGACCATCCGGGCGTAGACGCATCTCAGCATATGCCGAAACCCCCTTTACAAACTTATTTATATCATCCTAGCAAAACTAGTAATGCAACTATCTGCCCGAACATTCCCTGGGTGATAGTATCGAGACAGGTGAATCGCGCACGTGTAGGCGTATATGAGATTTAATATACTACAGAGCCTATAAGCAATTATAAATCTACCGGATCAGGAAAGTTTGCCCACTCGGATAGATAGCATATACAGTTTTGTCGTTCTTTCTCCCCCCTTGCTCCTATATCCCCGGAATGGCCAAGAATACTGGCACCGCCTCATATAGCATGACAAATTCTTGTGGCGAATAGGAGGCGCTCTAGCCGCTACAATTATTGAGAGGTTACAATCTCAAGGCCAGCCTAATATTAAGTGTATGACGAGGAAGTGCCGTGATGCCTGGGTATCGATTTTCAGAGGTGTACGGAATAAAACACTGCAAGGGCAACAAAAGTTATGAGACTCACATCCTTCGTTGTTTCTACTCAGCGGTGTTACGAAATCAATATAACTATATTCCTCCCTGCAACATAACCAGAATTTCCCGTTAGTTTGCAATATTTTACAGCGTAGATAGGCATCCTGAACGCTAGTTCTGGTAATGTAATTCTGACCTGACATGTTACTTGATAATAATTTACCTACCTACCTAAATGCCTAGGCAAAAAATAAAAATATAAACAGACCAGGCTCTCATCCTCTATGACTCCCGGCTATTATTGGTGGGCGTACCATATACCATATATAACAGACCCGATAATCTGTTTCCAAGTCTTCTAGCTATATTGCAGGGAAGACTAAATGGTCACTCTGGTTTCATAATACTATCGTATTATCTTTATAGCGAATCTCTGGATCCATGCAACATTATTTGAGCAACACCGCATCCTTAACTACCGTCAATTAATCCTACAGGTTTAAAAACCCGAGGAATGGGTACGTGACATGTAATCCTACTGTAGCTGCATATGACAACTTATTTATCCCGAGGCCTAGCCCTTTCATCAATTAACGACAAATATTATTGCGGAACGAGTAAGTTTGTGAGAAGCCTTTCACGTTACTTAGATAGGTTCCTGGGGAATATGTAGAGCTTATATGATTGCCAATGTGAGAATTAATCATTTACCTCTGTTATAATACTGGTATTACGAAGAATACGCAGGTGTAATTCAAAATATCTACGAATTAATGCCACGCCTTGAGACACGAAGAGGATATACTAAAATCGTATAAAATGAATACAACTATGAAACAGCAAACCAGACTACCCTACTAAAATATACGGTTCATCCTTCAAACCACCGGTGTTATGCTACTAGCACATGTCGTCTACACATATCTCTTTAAACGGCACTTCTCACTCCAAATCTAGCTCCAGCCACACTACCAGATATGTGGTAAACTATAGCTTAAGCTCGGGATACTCCGGTAGACGCCAAACGTAATCCCCCTCCGGCTTTGGTCTGTAAGTTAGAGGTTCGATCTTAGACACCGCCCACATCGCGTTTCGCAGGATCCAAATGCCCAGCTTGGAAGACGGGAAAAAAACACTCATGAGCTCGGTGGGAAGTTTCTGGATCTCGTCAATCCCGGGCCGTACCACCGTATCATACGCTTTTAACGCGCTGGGCACGTCGTTGTCGTGTCGTGCCAATTCTCCCGCGAGGACATAAGCGCCGATGAGACACCCTGTTGTCCCCATTCCCGTGAATGGAGTTGGGCAATAGCCTGCGTCTCCGAGCAGCGCAACTCGGCCCTTGTACAGCTGCTTCATTTTGATCTGGGCTAACTCGTGCGCCCAAAAGTCTGCTGTTGTCTTCATACCGTTTAGCAATCGATCGGTCTGCCAACCGGCGCCCTTGAAGGTCTCCGTAAAAGCTTCCTTCTGCTTGTCGACTGATTCTTTGTACGACTTTCTCAGATTATCTGAGTCCGCCATGGTGAAGAGCAGGACCTGCGTCACCGGTCTGCCACTCGTTCTGGTAAATAGCATTCTTCTTCCCGGCGCGTTATAAACCCTTGCAAGCGTACCCTCGTCTTCGCTACGCGGGATGCTGTAGTAGGCGGCGTGGACTCCGATAGACTTGAAGGCTTCGTCGTTAGCTTTCTGACCAAAAGCCATGCGCCTGGTACGCGATGCTTGGCCATCTGCCGCTATCACCAGGTCGTAGTTCTGCTTCTGTCCGTTAGAAAAGGTAACATCTACCCCGTTATCAGTCTGTGTGAATTCTGTAACTTCTTGACCGAATTCGTATGTCAGACCCCCTTTTCCCCCAAGCTGCTTCACTTGTTCATTCTGCTTGATACTCGCGTCATATAGGACTCTAACCATGTCACCACGCATGATCTCAAACTCGGATGTCAAAGTGCGACGGCTTTGGCCAGTAGGGTTGATGCCCACAAGCGCCTTCCGTCGTCCACTCGAATCTATGACCTCAAGACCGGTTTCGTCAACACACGCTTTTTTGATCGCATCGAAGATTCCCATCTTCTTTAGGACATCAACGCCTTGGTTCTTAATGTCAATTTGCTGACCTGCCACGCGTAGCGAGGGAAATCGCTCTATGATGGTGACCTTGTGATTGGGATCAGACTTTTGTAAAAATATTGCAAGGGCCGGACCAGCAACACCAGCGCCTATAATCAAGACATTCAAAGGCATACCGACTGATGAACGTAGTGTTTTGTTATTGCTGGAACTATGCTGGGAACCTTTCGTGGCGAAGAATCGAGCAGTTGATCGCGGAGGGTACCAGCTAAGGCGTCGACTTGCTACGAGGATGTTTCTAGTTGCTTTAGCGGTTCTGGGTATGGATAGATTTGGGAGAAGACGCCCCATACTATGTTGTGTTGATGGTTGACTGAAGTGTAGCTCTCGTCTTCTTGCGGGCTGCTGAAGCGGCTTGACTCAGATCGTAGGATAAAGATGAATTCCGCTACTTAGGATATTGAAGCTAGCTATAATACTAACGAAACTCAGTACTGTACAGATGAGACCAATGATTATATATTTAATAAAGTAGCATATCACCGAAGGAGATTTACTTGGTCGCCCAAAAGCCTATTACCTCCGTCATTCCCGCTTACGCCCGCTTAGGGCCGTCTCTCGCACCTAAACACAGCAACGCGTCTCCTGACTCGGGTTGAACTCTTCACCCTCTGTATATTTTCTAGTGCGTTCTAGTGTATATTCTGGCGTGTATTCCGGATATTTTATTTTCGAGAAGGATTTGCGATGGGTTATCGGACATAATATTGACGATGCAAGGGTTACGGACGAATTCGCACTTATCAACGAAGAAACCCGACCCATATTTAACTGCCTCTTAATGTTCCGTAAAGAACATTGTCTTATCTCGTAACTGGCTGAGATAGTGAAGAACTAAGAGATATAAGATTATTTACTGTTCTTCTAGTTACGTTTATTATTACGTAGTTACATTTCCTATTGCGCGCCTCGAGTACATGTTGGCTTCAGCTAAGCGTTGCAAATAGTCATCTTCTACTTCAATAGATTCGTGAGCTAATGCCCGCCATGAGCAACCTGAAGAGCACTCAGGCTATGACCCAAAGTACACACTCATGAGGCTCACGATTATTTTGAATTAAATCCCTAACTCAGTAAGCTTTATTCTAGTTTTAGCTATCATTTCTCTATCTGGGATTGGTTAAACCGTCGCAATTATAGCCTTGTCAACTTGTCTCACTATCCACCTGTCTTAGCTATGATAATAATAATACCTAGTTAGGGATGCTTGCCTCTTGCATAAATAACTTCAAAGACATGTACTATATTTTTAGTCAAAGTAAATTCGCACAAGCTATATTACGCGTTCCAATGTCTTAAACTTGCAGTGATGGTATATTTAAGGCTATCTGTCCAATTGGTGGCAATTTCCAACTCTACATGCGGTTCCTCTTGCTCAGTCGTGAATCGTGTGCTTTATAAATTCACCAATTCACCCTCTCATACGCCACCGCACCCGCATCGCCATGCATAATAGAAAGGATGAAGAATTAATGCTTGCAGGGAAGGGATAGTAATTAGATCGGTGTGGAGATAGGGCACCGGTGGAATGCTGCAAATCTGTAGCATTCCAGTATCCACGCACGCCTGCCAGTTGATATCCCATAAATATCTCCCAATGTCCCATAGATGCTGTCCCAAGTCACCAGCCAAACATGTCGAGAATGCCTTGAGCCTCTGTCTTTGCCATGCACTGGATACCTAGCTGGCGGTGTTGGGTGCCCTGAAAGAGTTTTCGCAGGCCCTGTGCAACCTTCCAGCCCTCATCTTCGTCAACAATAAACAAATGCCTCCTCCCGTCCTGATCTCGGATTGTGGCGCGCAGGACGTGCAGACCTCGTCGTCGCGAACTAATATTTGACAACGCAGGATCCCATCTTCCGTGAGGCGCATGACGGCACACGTCTCCGCAAGAATGCAGTAGCTCGTTTACACAGGCCTCGGCATCCTCACCTGTCAGGGTTTTGGGGTCACCACGAATTGAAGATCGGAAACGGCTCTTAGGCGTCACTTTGGGAGTGACGTTAGACTCGACAACACAATGTGCCGGGCACCATATCTCCATCGTCTTAAGCGTCCACGCCTTGACGTCCCAATCTCGCTGCGGCTCGTTGCGGACATCGTCGTCGATGAAGATACCGGCAGACGAGATGCGAAGAATTAAACCGTCCGTGACAGGTGCCATACCACTAATAAGTTGAGAAGCTGGTGTCTTGGAGAATTGGTTGACAAAGCTATAAACAGCCTTGATGACGATTTTGTCTGGGTCGTTGGTCCGATAAGGCGGGTGTTCGGAAGGTGGCGGCGTTGTCCTTGCTGTTGAATGGGATGGAGCATACGATGACTCTGTGAAGGTTGTCTCGCCCGACCGCCTTCGAGTATGGTTCTTAGGCTGATCATATGGTCGAAACGAATAAGTCTCTTCGTTAACGCCGCTCGAAGTCTTGGTTGTGCTAGGAGCTGGATTCGGTTGCTTGGTAGATGCAGCACTAGGCTTACTAGACGTAGTACTCGGGCTTGGCCTAGGGGGGCTTGATCTGGCAGGAGATGGAGACCTAACCGGCGGTTTTCCGTTCGGCCAGGGGTTTGTTTTCTCCCCGACCGACGAGTAGGCGTAGGCACCTCTCCTGCTTTCGGCTTCCCTTAGCCTAGCAGCTTCAACTTCCCTAAGCCTAGCTTCTTCTGCCTCTCTTAGCCTAGCAGCTTCCTCCCTCTGTCGAGCCGCCTCCAATTCCCTCTGCCTCTCAACCTCTCTTTGCCTCTCGGCTTCTCTTTCCCTGGCGGCCTCAGCTTCTCTCAGCTTGGCAGCAGCTTCGGCTTCTCTCTGCACGGCAGCCTCCGCTTCTTTCAGCTTCGCTCTCAACGTCGCAGCCTCTTCCTCTCTCAGCCGAGCAGCCTCTGCTATAGCCTTTAGCCTAGCTGCTTCGATCGCCTCCTTGATTCGGATTGCCTCCTTCTCCTTGACTTCCTTCTCAAGCTTCTCTCGGAGCGCTCTCTCTTGGTTCAATCGTTCATGCAGTATACGTTCCCTAGCTTCCCGTATTCTGGCTTCTCTCTGTTCCTTCTCCCGTCGCTCTTTCTCCTGCTGCTCCCTTTCGCGCTGCTCCCTTTCGCGCTCTTCCTTCTCGCGGGCCTCGCGCTCCTGCTTCTCCTTCGATTCTTGTTGGCGTCTGGCCTTCTCTCGAGCATCCTTCTCGCGTAGCTCCTTTAGTCGTCTAGCCAGTTCCTCCTTCTTGCGCCTTTCAGCCTCCTTCGCTTTTAATTCCTCTTCCCTAGCTTTTCGTTCTTCCTCTTTTCGCCGTGTTTCTTCTCTAGCCTTTTCCCATGCGCCTTTGGGTGGATCTCTGGGGGTCTCTTTAGAGGTCTCTTTAGAAGTCTCCTTAGGGGTCTCCTTAGGGGTCTCCTTGGGGGTCTCCTTGGGGGTCTCCTCAGGAAGCTCTTTGGGAAGCTCTTTGGGAAGCTCTTTGGGAAGCTCTTTGGGAAGCTCTTTAGGAAGCTCTTTAGGAGGTTCCTTGGGGGGCTCTTTAAGGGGCTCTATGGGGATTTCTGGAGGAGTCTCCTTGGGCTTTCTGGATGGCTTCTTGGGAGATTCCTTAGAAGATTCCTTATGTTCCTTATGAACCTCCTTAGGCAGTTCCTTAGGAAGTTCCTTAGGGGCCTCTTGAGCAGCTTCTCTAGGAGCTTCCTTGGGTTTTGATCTGGGTTTTGGCTTGGGAGGCTCCTGTGGGGGCTCTTTCGCAGGTTCTGGAGATGGCTCCCGGGGTGGTTCGCGGCGGGGTTCCCGAGGCGGCTCAGGTCGCTGCTCCGGTTTTGGTTGTCGTTTCGGCTCACGTCTTGGTTCTCGCTTCGGCTCTCGCTTCGGTTCCCGCGGCGGTTCTCGAGGTGGTTCTCGAGGTGGTTCTCGCGATGGTTCCTGCGGTGGTCGACGTCGAGGCTCCGGTGGCGGTTCTGGCGACGCGTCCTTAGGCTCGTTGGCTTGCGCATGCTGCTGCCACGATTGTTTGGGCCGCTCCGCGCCGGGAGTCCCAGGTGCGGGCCCGTGCCGAGGAGGCGGCGGCGGTGAGGCGTGAGGCGGAGGAGGCGGAGGTGTATCATCATTGGGGGGTGGTCCAGCGTTGGGACTCGGGCCGCTAGAATAACCTCCGGCTCCGGGATCGTACCCCCAAGAATTCCCATTACCTCTCCCCGACGCCGGACCACCCCCTTGTTGCGTTCTCCCCAGAGACCATGCCCCAATTCCGACTGCGATCACCAATAACACCATGCCCATATTCCCCATTCCTTGGAAGCTGCTCCACCACACGTGAAAAACCGGTGCCATGGTCTGACCCAGGACGACTAGAACCAGAGCGCTAGCAAATCCCGCGGCGAAGCTGTTCAAGTTCGGCTTCAAAGAAGGGAGATAGAGGAAACCGGATCCCGAGGAGTGCGGAGGTATGATGAATATGTCATATTTGCCCGGGGGTAAGTTGGAATTTGCCGGCCGGGGAATATTGCCATGCGGCGGCGGAGGCGGAGGTTGATCCATCGCGACGGTCTAGCCGCCAAGCGGTGAACCTGTCGAAATGGCGACCAAAAGGAAGAGGGTTGATGTTGAATGCGATTGAGAAAACGGAGGGCTTGCGATTATAAAGAATACGGTGGTGAAAAGTGAGGGTATCTCGGAAAGGCCATGAAGGATCGTAACGTCGTAAAAGGTGCTGTTGCTATTACAGATTAGATTATTGTTATTGTCATGACGATGATAAGGATGGGGATGGACGAAGAAGGACAGGTATAAAAAGTATGCGATAGAAAGTTGGAAGATAGGGAAGGAAAGAAAATAAAAAATCTGCCAAGTTCCAAGAGTCATCTAAGACGAACAGGGGACAGGTCATGACGGAAATAACGTACCGTAGACAGAAGAGAAAAGAAGGTAAAGGTCAAACAATACAATGCCCAGATTCCATGCGGATAGATGAAGCAGCAAACAACAACACAATAAAAACCACTTTTGTATATTTGACGGATCGTGAATCAATCGTTCAAATGCAAAGATAAAAGGTTGTCCAGGGTATTTTTTATGTATGTATGTAGGTCCATGTAATGTAGGATATGATCAAAAAGAGGAGTCGGACAAAGTGGCGGCATGAAATTTCATGAAGTCTTTGTGCAAGTCCTTTTTCTTTCAATCTTGGCACTTACTCCTGCCAATGTTTACTTATGAATTGTTGATGCAGAGCTGCTCAATCAACCCAGTTTGACAGGTCACAACTTTGTGAAGTGGTTGCATTGCATAGTCCGCTGAATAGTACGCTAAATAGTACGCTAAAGATACATTGGCCAATGAGATTCGGAAGCTAACAGAGAAAGGTCTGAGCGCGGTGTAATTGTCTCTATAGGCATAGCGCAAGTTCACAACAGGCATAACTCTATGTTTTCTAATTAAGCATCCCCCGCAAGTGCACAACTTGACATCTCTTATCCTTGTCTGCCTTTTGTACCAAAGTAAAATATTTCTGTCGCAATTCACTTCTGATATTCAACTTGTATTTTTTTTCTTGCTTTTTTATTTATTTATACTTTGTGGTTTTTTTTTTCTTTCTAGAATTCGAAGTCGAAGTCAAGCATATATAATATAATAAACTTAGGTATTTAGATATATCCTTTGCTACCTCGGTTCCGCTGCTCCGCAACGGTCAGCCGCCCACTTCTTGAAAATCAATCAACGTTGAAACAGCGCTCCAAAACATCGCTTCTAGATGCTGTCAATTGGTTCGTGTTGCACGATAACGGTCAACAAAAACGCGCCAGGTCAAATTTTAACAGAGTCTCCACTCCCACCATCAATACAGCACTATAACGAATCACAGCCAGACAGACGGATTGGCGGATTAGACATCTCGTTTGCAAATGTACCCCTAAACCGACTATCACCAGGGATCTCCCCCGCTTCCGTGTTTGTGGTTGTCCGTCACATTCGATGAATGACATTGTTCATCACTCTTACCGAGTCAAGTGCTATTACCATATTACGATCTTCGACTAAGAGCTAGGATATCAACTGCTACGAGTTCCTAAATATCTACCTCCTAGGTAGATTACCATTTACTAATACCCAAGCAGCCAGTAACTTCCAATATGTAGTGAAGGTAGCTTCAATAATGTAAAATTTTTCTATATTGTACCATGGTAGTAGGTTGGTACTTAGCAAGACAGTCCTTTGACTGTTTACAGCTACGAGCTGGTTGCTAGGCAACAACTTAGTAATTGGCAGCTTGCGCTGTTGTCGGTGCGGGGTTGCCAAGTTGGTGAGTTGTCTATCAAACCGCACCATGTCTATTAACTACCTAGGTACCTATCATCTCATTCATGTTATTTTCCCTTTGAGGGGTTTTCTTAAGGTTATTTGCATGATGCTATATGATTGCAATTATAGTCTTACTGCAGAACTGAATAGTTTAAGTCTTCCACTAGGCCCAAGAATCGCAGCTGGTATCTAACGTGCTTTCCGTCACGTTTCATTCTCGGGATCTTGCATCATGGGCGGCCGCCGTAAACCCCAAGTTGCAGCCTGCATAAAGGAACGGACCGCAATACCAGGCTAATCCAAGATCAAACATGTGAAACTCCAATAGGCATTTAAGCTAGTTAGTTACATAAAGAAATCTCAGCTTTAGTAGTAAGCAAATCAAGCTGTGGAATTTTTACCATCCCAACGAAACATTAAGCTTTAAAAAGCTGCCTAAACATTTAACTGCCGTACAGGCATCGTTTGCTAGTAAAATGACCGTATTAGGTCTTAATAGTAAAAATTAATTTTAGCAATATTATTGAACCCAAAGTAATTAAGATACAAAATACCATAGTTATTACTAAGACCATTATTTTGTTAGTCTTGTCATGATAAAGTGATGCTCCTACCATCTTTAGCTATCTGAGTACCCAAGGTATTTGATACTAAGTAAATAAAATGCTTAGTATCGATACCTGTCTTCTCATTCTTAATAAATTCCAGTGACGCTATATGTTCTCTTTTTGGACGAATTAAACCAAGGCCCTCATTAAATAACAGTGCTCTTCAGGAGTTACCTTACTTCGAAGTATTAGTTGAATGTTTCCTTAGTTAATATCAATAAAACCATTAGGAAATAGAGCTTAGTAAATATCCAGCATACACTCCTCCGTGCTGTGCATAAATTATTTTAGTCGATTGAACCTACCTTTAACAAAATATTAACTGAGGGTAGTTATGGTTGGATAAGCATGTTAGATTAGCACCAGTCCCGTGGAATTATCATAAGGCTCGCTACAACTACTGTAACATCATGTGAGGTATATTTACAATTTACTACCGAGAAGATTGGGTATAGCCAAGTCAAGGCTTCATTTTAGGTACAAACGCCTCGAGGTTTGAAGTACAAACATGACTGCATATTCTAATCGTCTTACATAAATTCCTAGAAGAATGAAGATAGGTTCAAGAGGTTTACAGGTCAGGATCTTAAAGCTACGTACGATTTGTTACTAGTCTCATCAGATATACTATTTAGACACAATAAAGCTATCGGGTACCTTTGGCCCTTAAAGTAGCCGCTAGATTCTACATGATGAGGGTATCCCTCATTTATCCTTAGAAAAAGGAATATAGGTTTAAAGATATCCTATCACACCTATATAATAAAAGTTAGGCCCTTATCTTTTACTCTGTGTAAACTCGCGTTCTCCGACGGACCATTGCGCAATCGGCTGTGTCCAATATTGAAAACACACTCTCCATATTACTTACAATCTTGATTCACCTTGATCATTTCATATTATTTGATAACTAGGAAGGTGGCATTCGTCACTCAGTTAAATCTTGAATGCTTTTTTAAGATCAACCCCTTCATACAATGGTTTCAAACTGTGAATTGCTATGTTGTATTATATGATGTCGGGTTTTTAAGGTTTCTGTAAGTGTTTTTTTTTTTTTTTTTTTTGGGGGGGGGGGGGGGGGGGGTAAAAAATTTTAAAGGTATTTAAAAAAAAATAAACCGTTTTTATAAAAAAAAAAAAAAAGATGGGGCATTATTGGGTGGAAAAAATTTTGAATGGATAAAGG